GAGTAGAGGTGCAAGACTCTTCTCTGCAAACCTGACACATTTTATTGCTCGCACCTTCCTGCTAATTCTAACGAGCAAGAAATTACTTATGAGGAGCTTCATGAAAATTCTCTGGCAATATAAATGGAAATGTATTCACTTCATCTCTCCAGGCTCACTGAAACAGGACCAGTCTCAGTCTGGCATCTATAATCCATAACTCTGGCTGAGGTCCATCATAATGTTAACAAGATATTGTAACATGAGACAGCCTTTTATTTCTGTGTCCATAACACCCTCTCATTAACTCTCACGCTCGATCATAACAAAGAACATTAATAAGCCAAGGTTTTGTATAACAGCAGAAAATAAAGCTAGGGTTGGCTATCTTTCGACATTTTTAGACGCTGATGTCAACAAAATGCCTGATTTTTGGTGCAGAAAGTGACATTATTTATACAATACATGTAAAATATAATCAAATTCCTTTCCCTCCACCCTTTCTTCCTGGACTGGATTGTGTGTACTGTTTTGCAGCAGTCATGGGGACTCAACAGGATCACACACTCAAATCATCCTTTGCTATTCTGCATATTTTTTAGTGTGCATGACATGTCTGTGTTTTGAATGCATTCATGTGCATTGTTCAGGTGAGCGTGTACATGTTCTGCATGTCAGCATGATTTTAAAAAGGAGAGATTAAGCCTTGTGGTACTGACTCCTGCAGGCTTTTTTTGCAGTAGTCTCAGGTTCTTTGAAATTAACACTGGAATACTGAGCTGCAACAGTGAGAAACAGCTACATTAAGACGTGAGGAAAGGATAGCAAATAACAGTTATACTGCTCATTTTACTAACATGGCTCGAGGGAAATTGTGTTTTAACTACAGCACATTAACATCCTCAGTATTTTATGTTATTGCCCAATAACCTGTGAATTTAATTTAAGAGCCAGACCAACGAAAGACAGCCAGACAATCTTGTACCCTTGTTGCACTGTCATGGACAGCTGAGCCTTCCATTCATGTGAAAACCTGCTTATTAGCTCCCCCGCATCAGACCAGCTAAAAGAGGCTGCAGGGCAAGATAAAACCAGGAGGGGGAAACAAGGCCACCAATTAATTCATGAAGTAAAACACCAATTTATACGTATCTCACAAACAACCAAAATAGACAGAGAAAAAGGAAAACAAGAGAGAAGGAAAGAAAGAAAGATTGTGCTATCTGAGGGGGCTGTATCTATTCCACATGAGTTAGTGCAACGTGAGAGCAGTCCAACAGTTATTCAGCACTGAATCTGCTGTGGATTGCTCCTGGTTGTGCCAGTCTACGTCAAAGGATGTGTTCATGAGAGCTTCACAAGCACTCCTCTGAGATCTGCATTTAAATGCCTATTAACTGGTCTATGTCAACAATAACAGACAGCCCAAGAGATCTGTGTAGCTCGTACTGTAAATGTGTTCACATCACCAAGCTTTTTATCTATTTTAAACAACCTGGCTGCAGAAAAGGCAACAAAAGACCAGATGACACCATGAGAAGCCTGATCGGACTGAATCCTTACAAATATGCTTGCAGTAGAAAGAGCAGATGGCCAGTTTGATGGTTTACCAATGCATTACTTTTGCATATTCATCAGTTTTGCAAATGTAGTCAGTGACTTCTCCAGCTAAGCGCTTGAACTCAGGCACTTCACCCACAGGGCAACGGCGGGTTAGTATCCCTATTGTACCATTAATAATGGAGCAGGAGTCCAGCTGACTACCGACACAGTATATAATGTTAGTCATCTCCAGGCCAACCCACACACACATGTCAACATGAGCGCTGGAGCGTTGGACACATGTTGTTGTGTGGCATGCTGAGAAAACAGTTGGAAAGGCAGGATCACTAACGTGTGTGATGTAATGCGGGTTTCTTTGCTGTGTTTTATCTGAGCGAGAGGGGGGGGATTTGAGGTTTGTTCGAGTTACCACAACCCACAGAAAGCTTTCCAATCCAAGGATGCTTTCAAGGACAGCTCTATTCAAGTGCACCAGTATTACTGCTCCTCACAACACTGGGAGGAGACACATTTGAAATGGTGTGTTTGAGGGTCCTCTGCCAGACAATTTGAGCGTCAAACACTTAATTTCCTGCATTCTGGTGAATTCTTACGCACCAATTTGTGCTTCTTCTGCATCCATTTATGGTGTGAAAGTCCTCAACTACTTCATGATTTTAAGGTGGGGTGACAAATGCACATGTTCTAAATATTGAGGGGGACATGTCCTCTGCGCCACCCCCAAATCTACAGCTATGGCTCCCTGTGCGCTGGAGTGACAAGACATGCAGGAAAAGCTATTGAAAAATGTAGAAAAACATGTCTGCTGTCAGATAGTGATGGAAGCTATCAATCTGAGAACTTTATTAGGAAAAAAATGCTCATAATTAATTGTTAACTCAATCTACAGAATATTAAGTCAATTATTTGTCATTTATTCAGCAAAAATGCAAAATATTTCCTACAAACACATCCTCTGATGAGTGGATTTGCTGCTTTTCTCAAAGTGATGCTTCTATAAATTAAATATATTTGATTGAAAACTGAATCCACTTGAGATCAGGGAAATTTGTAAGTGGCATTTTCCCCTATTTAGCTTTGATGATTAACTCTAATGTAATAATCCTGCAGCCCTGTAGCCACAAGAGGAGTGGCAGCAGTGTAGTAGTGAGAGAGACCACCCTTCAATCTGGAGTGCTGGTAAAAAGCATCTGCCCTGCTGGAGTGACACTGAAGCCCCCGACAGACTCCTGGGATGCTGTTGAGTAGATGTGTGTCGCTTTGAGCTCATTATGGAGCTCAAAAAAATATATGTATATCATATTTCATGACACAAGGTGACACCAGCACTCACAGTGACAGCACTACAGTATCAGCTCATTTTCTGGTGTGTGGGTCAGGTGCTGTCCGAGGTGCTGAAACCAATTGAGTATCATTACCTGATTATGTCATCGTTGTGCCCCAGGTAAAATTTCTGCTTGTGCTCCCGGGTGTTGTACACAACTCCGACGCCGGCGACAAAATAGACTATCTCCTTGGCGGCGGTGTAGTACAGGTTGTTGCGGCACTGATGTCCCCGGTATCCGTACACCCACTCCAGTCTCAGGTGGCAGTTGGGAGCAGTTCTGTCAGCCATGTCCGCACTTCCGTGTGTGTCTCTCTGTCGCTGTCACGTAGGTTTTCTGAGATAGTGTCATTCACCAAAAAGGATTTATTTTAAGCCCGTGTGTCCCATTAGTTCCGTTGAATTTCCACCGGTCCAGAGAGAGCGTTGAAATTAGGCATTTCTGAGGGTCATGTGAATTTATAGCCTCGCGGTCCGATAAGACGAAAGCCCTCCGTCTCTCTGTTACAGAAACAGGTCTCTAAGCTGTTGTAGTCATTGTGAGAAGCTACTCGTAATTCTTCAGCCCGAGGCTTGCGGTCTTCTTCGACACAGGTCAAAGCTCCTGTCAAATCCTACAAAGATGGAGCTGCACTGGTATTCCGTAAGCACCGCCCACAAAGATGACGTTTCACCTCGCCGTCCAATCAGATCCTTTCATTCATCCTCGAGGAAATAAAGCAGGAGAGGACAGTTCCGTCATGGCTAGAGAAGTTATGCTAGGCTCAAACTGGATAATAGAAATTAATTCAACATTAACTCCGTGTGACTTATTGGAAATAAGATTATATTACTGTGCTTATTTTACACGCATAGACCAAAATATTTCCCTGAAACAAAATATGATTTTAATTGTACATAAGACTGTTTTATTAATTGTAATGTAGCCTACATAGATTCGAAGTTAGATTTATGTCAGTATTATTTCCACAAATGTAAAAAAGATTTTTCAAATGCACAATAAAATATTTTACCAATATAAAACAGATCGACAAATACACAAATTTTAAAAATTCACAAGAAAAAAAATTGAGATTTACAAAGAAAAACTGAGATTCACAAATAACAGCTGAATTCACAAATATCTGTTCTGAAGTTGTAAATGAAGAAGATAGTCATTTATTCATTTGTAAATTAATTAAATGTATTCTCACACACACATACATGTTGAATTTGTTAATGTATTTGTAGATACATTTTATATTTGCAAATTATTTATTCATTTATTTTTTGTTTGTATATCTGGAGCAGAGATGTCCCAAAAAAAGGTGGACTATTTAGGTGAAGTATAGTATATTTATTTGTGGAATTTGTTTGTGTATTTGTAGATTTTCTATTTGCTTTTTTAAAATTTGTTTATTTAGATATTGTATTTGTGGAGCACACCGATTGTCAGTCTGTTCACACAAACAATATTGAGACTAATCTATCTTCATAACATTACAACAATTCTTCTATTTCAAGATTCATAGGTGTCCCAAATAAAGGTGTAGTTTTGTATAGATGAAGAAGGCACAATAAAACATTTTCTTATGACTGTTCATACACAACAACATTCTGGTAGAGTAAGGTAGTACCTTAAGAATGTTATTTTATGTTATTATGATATTTGCTATTTAAGCACATATTTAAGCAAAATACCAATTGTTAACTAACTAATTTTATCAGGTAAATTTCATATCCATCCAAGTTCAAGTCTTCTGAATCTCTCCATTTTGAATAATTTATTACTGGAAATGACATTGAGTCTATCTAACTGTACCCATTACTGATTAATTTTGATTCGTTATATTTTATTCTTTTATTTATTTATTTATTTATTTTATTTTGTGTACTTATTTAATGTCTTCTTTGACAATTTGGTCATGCACTATTTTGTTTTTTCTATGTTTTACAATGACGATACAGTGATGTAGTTGCTTTGTTTCCCTTATATGTTTTATTACTTTTTTACTAAAATATGGGTAATTAAGCACGAAGTAACAAAACTAAGTCTTTTCCCGCTTATTTTATTTTATTTTGTTTTATTTTGTTATAGCGGAAGCTAAGGAAGTGAAGCCCCGCCCTCCTCCGCCGTTGCTGTGCGACAGAGGAAGCTTCGGTCTCGCCATCATTCCAGTTTTGCTAAATAGCTTGGTAGCCGATTTTTTAACACCTATTTTTCCCCACCAGAGCAATGGAGGTGACGATGGACCCTTTGTTTCTGGCCTGGAGCTATTTCAGGAGGCGAAAACTCCAACAATGTTCAGATATTTGCACAAAAATATTACAAGACAACCCGTACGACCAGGTACTGTGGTGTAGTTAGCGGGTCTAGCCTAGCATGCTAGCGATAATCCATTAGGGAAAGCCTGCGTGTTTGCTAACGCAGGATAGCGGCAGAACCTGGAGTATAATCCCGATTAACATTAGTCGAGTCTTTGTAGTTTATCATAATTGAATTTACTTAACGCTGTATTTACTGGCACGTCATTGAATCTACATCTATCTCAGTTGTTGTCAGAGCATATTCTTGGTCACTATAACTTACTGCATTTCTTTTTCACATGTCATTTGTGTTATTTTCTGCCCCATGTTTTCCATTTATTTTCTCAATTTATTTATATCTGTCCTCAACTTTTGTTTTCTGTCGCGAACTCACTGCATGCTGTCTCAAGGACTCCTCCTTACCTATCTCAGAGGTAACCTCGTTCCTCTTTTCCATCCCCTTTCATCCTTTTTCATGTGGATAGTTCAACAGAGATCCTGATAGTGACATGTTTACCTCTGCACCCGATGCCATCTCATGTGATGGGAACATTGTGTGTTTAACAGGCTGCATGGAGCTTGAAAACCCGTGCTCTTACAGAGATGGTATACATAGATGAAGTTGAGGTCGACCAGGAGGGGATTGCTGAGATGATGCTGGATGAGAGCTCAATTGCTCAAGTTGCACGTAAGCCCAAACTCCTCTCAGCGTGAACTTAGAACGTGAATACATACATACATTTACTCAATGGCTTGATAAGACTTGACTTTTTCAGGACCTGGAACATCACTGAGGCTCCCTGGAACAAGTCAGGGTGGAGGTCCCACAGCGGCTGTCAGGTACTGTCTGCCATAAAATAATTGTGTAATGTGATAAAATCTTACCATCGATGATATTTTCAGCAAAGTATGAGTCCCCTGATCTGAAATTTCTTTTCTGAATTCAAGGCCTATGACACAATCAGGGCGTCCCATCACAGGATTTGTAAGACCCAGCACACAATCAGGGCGTCCTGGGACAATGGAGCAGGCCATCAAGACCCCACGCACTGCAAGCACTGCTCGTCCTGTCACTAGCGCCTCTGGCAGATTTATCCGTCTGGGAACTGTAAGTAAATCTGCATCAACCAAGAGGCTCCATGTAAAACACAAATATACTTTTTCTACCAGAACTTTTATCTTTGAAACATAGTATCTGCCCAGTGAATTTGGGCTAACATAATATTATTTTTCTCTTGAGAATATATTTCCAATGTGATGTATATGTTTCCTGATAAAATATTGTATATTAATATCATAGAACCAGTATCTTTTATCTGTTAGCGCACCTGTTTATTTGTAATTGCATTTTATTTTACGGTATTGACTGTGAAGAAATCCTGAAACATTCAGCATGACACTTTGTTTCTCCAGGCTTCAATGTTAACCAATCCAGAAGGACCATTTATAAACTTGTCGAGACTAAATCTGGCCAAGTATTCCCAAAAGCCCAATCTATCCAGGGTAAGACTGACACTGACTTGCAAAAATTATCAAGATGATTGGCTTTTCTCACATGTCAAGTAACCATAATTTCCCTTCTCAGACACTGTTTGAGTACATCTTCCATCACGAAAATGATGTAAAAAATGTAAGTGTTCAATAAATCAGTACAAAGAAAAATTGTATGACTTTGTGAAATTTCAATGATTAGATCATGTGACACAAACTTTACATTTCTTTTCCAGGCTTTAGATCTGGCTGCTCAAGCTACTGAACATGCTCAATTCAAAGACTGGTGGTGGAAAGTTCAGTTGGGGAAATGCTACTACAGGTAACTCACAGACATCTAAATGAATGGAGCTCAACATTCTGGCATTTACAAAAGTTGCATGTTTATAATCGGTGTAATCTCTGACTTTTGCAGGCTTGGTTTATATCGAGAAGCAGAAAAACAGTTTAGATCAGCTCTCAACCACCAAGAGGTGGTGGATACATATCTCTACCTTGCAAAGGTAACAATAAAGACATCATAGCGTTACATCACATCACCAGCTTGTTGGACAGTGTAAAATACTCTGTCCATGAGCCAAAAATTAAAAACCATTGTGTTTGTTTTACCATAGGTATATCAACGTCTGGATCAACCAATAACCGCTCTCAACCTTTTCAAGCAAGGCCTTGACCACTTTCCTGGTGAGGTTACTCTGCTAACAGGAATTGCTCGCATACATGAGGTACAGTATGTCTCCATGATCCTTACTATAGAGTCCGCTTAGTTCTCTCTCCAGAAACATCTGCCAAAATGAAATAGGTAACCATAACCACTGTTTATACTATGATATTGACACAGGAGATGAACAACATCTCATCAGCCACAGAGTATTACAAAGATGTCCTGAAGCAGGACAACACTCATGTGGAGGCCATAGCCTGTATAGGCAGCAATCACTTCTACACCGATCAACCCGAGATCGCCCTGCGCTTCTACAGGTCAGATAAACTTTTATGCATGTGTAATGTGACATATTGTTACAGTATGTATAATGAGGAATTATATCCCATCTGTTATTCAATAAGTTTCTCCCATTGTTAGACGGCTACTCCAGATGGGGGTGTATAACTGCCAGCTGTACAACAACCTGGGCTTGTGCTGCTTTTACGCCCAGCAGTACGACATGACTCTGTCCTCATTTGAGAGGGCTCTGGCCCTGGTGGCCAATGATGAAGAGCAGGCTGATGTATGGTACAACATAGGTCACGTGGCTGTGGTGAGTTAATCAACCCTGAAAATATCCCAGAATTTCTGCTGATTTAAAGGGATAGTTTAGATTTTTTGAAGTGGGGTTATATAAGGAACTTATTCATAGTCAGTGTGTTACCTGCAGTACATATCGGTTGGCATGATCCCAGTTTAGAGAAGCAGGCAGGAGTACCACCACGGAAGCTAAGCAATTTCCTGCTGCGTATGGGGGCAGCAGCAAAACATATTTAAGCCACCCAAAACGGTAATTTTATCTCACAGAACACGGTGCTGCTGGTACCACTGCCTCTATCGGTCAGTTTGTTTGTGTTATTGTGTGACTTTGGAGTTTTAAAGGGTTAGTTTGGATTCACCAAAGTCACACTATACAAGTGTATAACATAAACTAAGTGATTGAGGCAGCAATAGACCAGCAACTCCTGTGTTCTGTGAGGTAAAATGATTGTTTTTGTCAAAGGAATGTGGTGGCTTTGAAGAGAGCACAGATAATGGCTTCAGTTTCTCATCTTAAAAGGGCTGTCTGACGGCAAAGTAAAGCAGTGAAAATATTCTAAATAAAGTGTTCACATGAACAGACGTTGATTTTTCAGGTGGCTAAAATTGGACTTGTCCCTGTCCGCAGCAGTATATAGCTTAGCTTCCATGGCAGTACTCTTGTCATACCGACCGTCATCTACTGTAGGTTAGCCACCGACTATGGATAAGTACATTTTACAAAAAATCCAAATTATCCCTTTAATACTAAGTACCCTCTCTTAAATGGCTCACAGATAAAACAGATTAAATGTTGACTGTTAGCAAATAGAAGTTGGTACAAAGTGCTTGTGTTCTGTGTTTACAGGGCATAGGGGACTTGACACTGGCCTACCAGTGTTTTAAACTGGCTTTAGCTTTTAATAATGACCATGCTGAGGCCTACAACAACCTGGCTGTGCTGGAGCTGCGCAAAGGTCGCATCGAACAGGTGAGGACATATCTTTGAGTCATGTAGGTTTTATTCAGCTATTAAAATATGAGGTATGAGGTCATATTGGTGTCATTTAAGTCCCTCCAACAGCTTATTATTAAAGGACCATTAATTTGTCTTAATTGTTGTTAAACTTAAGTGAAGCCTGTATTAAGAATATTTCTTAATAACACCCATTACAGTATTGATTCTTCAAAAATGTTCCTACAAAACAGTAATCATTTGAAGGTTACAATTGCACAATATAAATCCAACGAGCTATAAGCCACGAATTAGACCAACCAGGAGCTGGATGATAAATCATTTAGCATAACGATCTGAGACAAGATATTCTTAGACATACTGTATGAGGCTGTGGTTATCCCACAGCAGCACGGACTGTGTGCCTCCCTCAAACACAGCTAGGTGCCAGCCATCGGCTGTTTTTGGATCATGATGGTTGGAATGGAAGCTATGAGCAGAACTAATATTGTGTAAGGGTATTTGAATTTCAAACCACATAAAAGTACCTATTTTTTTTTAGTTTTTTATTTACCTTAAAAGCCTTATTGCAACACTGCATGATACGGAAAAGGCTGTTGATGTACGATTTCTAATAAATTGTTTTCAGCTGTAAGCTATAATCGTGACTGCCACTGAGCTAACAAGATGACAGAATGATGTGTTAGCTGTCTGATTTTGAAGGTGTCCCTGCCCACTCCTCAGCTGCAAACCTACTATAAATGAGAAAATGTAGGCTGTAATTTAAGCCAAATTTCTGCTGTCTGTTTCATGATGTAAATGGTGTCATCTGGCAAAGAGGTGGTGGGAGTGAGCTCTCTGATGAAAGTATTCATGGTTGTCCTATCTTTGATCTAGTCTAAAGCCTTCCTGCAGACTGCTGCATCACTGGCCCCTCACATGTATGAGCCACACTTCAATTTCTCCATTCTCTGTGAAAAGGTAATTCATCACTTTTGTATTCATCTTAACATCCAAACATTGCAGTAGTTAAAGAGACAAAGTGTAATCTTCCCAGTGGTATCTGTCAAAGTAATGCTTTTGTCTGTTTCCAGATTGGAGACCTTCAAAGCAGCTACACTGCCGCCCAAAAGTCTGAGGACTCCTTTCCAGAGCACGTCGACACTCAGCAGCTTCTTAAACAACTTCGGCAGCACTTTGCAGTTCTGTGAGCGTCCGACCAGCATGCAGAGGAAGCACAGCGTGGTTTGAATAATGTAGGTGTCAAAGATAGGAGTTGTTGGGCTGCAGTTATCACCATCAGGCTTCAGAACAAAAGTTACTACGAATGTCACGTTAGTCAGACATGGATGTCAAAGAATGGACATAGGGTTTGGTTGATGTTTATTTATCAAATGGTGTGTAGTCACTAGATTGACAGTTTATCAGGTACACCAGTGTTGTTGAATTCTATTGTAGGTAGCTCTCTGTGTTGCATTTTCATATCCTCCTGAGACCCAAACTTTTGTTTGGTATGCATTTTTAATTTCTCCTCACTATTTAGGATCAGTAGGACCTAATTAGTATAAAAAACTAAACACTCAATGATAATTAAGTCTTAATGTCTTCAAACAAGTACTTCCTAATTAACAGCCTTTTATCTTGTTACTGTTACTAAAATTGGTCAAATTTGTTGCCATGTCAAACTACACACATTATTAATAATAATTAAACAAGTTTCAACCATACAGTGTGATCAGGTTTTGGATCTTGTCCACTTTGGTGTCGGGATCAGCTGCAGACTGACTTGGCAGAGATGGCTGCCATCTTGTTTGCACATGGATTAGTGTATTGTGCTCTTACTACCACTAGATGGCACAAAAATTGTTAGCGAACGAGGACAACGGGTCCAAGTTAAGTAGAATAAAGTATAAGGTTGAGTAAATCCAAAATGTGACATCCTCAAATGAGGACACAGGGTCTCAGGAGGATATAAAATTCTGCACACCAGCGTGAAATGATATGGATGTGACTGGCATCATTATAGTATGTCTATTCATTTGCACTTCTCTGACCATTCTCCTACGAGCCCTTTGATCCACAAGCTTTTTACTTACAGAATCTGTGGTCACTGGTAGTTCTTAGTTTTTCACATCATTCTTAGTAAATCCAGGGTGTGAAAAGACCAACAAAACAGCTGTTTGGGAATTGCCAGAACCAAACTGCCTGTCGCCAGCAGGTTTTTAAAGTCTGTGTGATGACAAATATTAGTGTCATTTGCAAGCTTCATTTAACAACTCAGCCCTAGGTGACGCTCTAAATGCTGCTTTGTCACGCAACATGTGACTTGTAGGTACGTGCAGCTTATGTAAAGGTGGGTGTTTTCTTGATAAACTGTTAACCTAGTGTACAGGACTGTATAGTAGTAATCCATATGTACATAGTAAAGTTTTAAAAAAACTATTTATGACAGTTAAATTATTAACTTACATTTTATAGTTCATTTCAGAAATCAGATGTATTTTTTGTACTTGGACCTTCCCTGCCATTTTGTAGTCTCAACAAATGTTGACATGACAATAAAAAGATTCAGAAGATGTGTAAAAGTCTCTAAGGTGGAGTTAAATCTGCATTCAAAAAATTAACTGAAAAGTTAATGTGATTTAAAAAAACCAAAACAAAACACATTAACCTGCAGATCTTGGTGTCATTTCGCAAATCCATTTCAGGTCATAATTGCATGGAGCATCATTCCAGGACTTAAAGGGGTTGCTTCTGGGATATGCTGCTGCACAGTCCTCATTACCCTGGTTGTTGGGCTCTCCATCATTCCAGTACCTGAAACAAAAGATAGGTTGTTGCGCTATAATAACTGCTCTGCCACTTTATGTTAAAATGATTATTGATTACAATTTTGAAGAGTGGTATTACAAATGGATAATAGCCACAGCATTAAGTATGCGAATGTGCTATCACAACAATTCTTACAATCACAGTATTTCACTCTTATGTGTTGTCAGTTGCATATTTCTGGTATGTACACGAATGAAGCTGTTACCCCTGAGCCAGTTCTGTTCCATCCAGCCATCTCCAATTCCCTTCCTCCTGCACATCTCTCAGTCCGATCCAGAAACCAGTCTGGCTTATGGGTCTTGTAGCATCGTGATAATTATTTATCAAGTTGGTAACTGCCAGCTACCACCACCGGAAATGTAACACACAAGAACGTACAGTAAGTTAACTTGTCTTGTTGAGTTCTATGTAGCACAGACTTCTGCTGCGCAGAAATAAAATCTAAAGTGCTATAAAAGGGAATTACAGCATATCAATGTGATGACTAAACATTGAGTCTTACGTGTTTTTCTCTGCTGTCTATCACTGCCAAGTTGCCTCCTTGTTTTGTGCAAAAATTTCTGGCTTCCTGCCATGGTCTGCGTGAAATGTCCTCAGAGAAAGGGAAGTAGTAACACAGTGAGTTCATGAAAGTCCATCCAGGTAGGCAGTGTCTGCAGCCCTGCTCTGTTGCCAAAGAAAATGGAAACATGGTATGTTGTGGTTGGGTCACAATAATGATGTATTTATACCTTGCAAACAGAATATTAAAAAAAAAAAAGGGAAAAAACTCTCACTAAGCATTGGCATGTGGGATTTCAACGCTGCAATGTCCATTTGAAGTTTGTCAGCCTGCTTTTCGTAGGTTTTGCTTCTTTTACGCTCATGTTCAAGCTCCCACTTGGTAATTTGCTGCTCACTGATCTCTCTTGCCAACTCTTTCTTGGCGTCATCCCTGCTTTGAATTGCAGTGTTGTACGCAGCCTGCAGTTTGACCACCTCTCTGCTGATGTCCATTACTGCAGATTGCCCACCAGTAAGTTTATTATCTGTGAGTGGTCAAGACAAAGCGTTACTCAAGTTCTGTAGTCTCAGTTTAAGTTTCTTTTTTCACTTTTTACAGTCCATGTACAATTAATTAATGAGTCAAACGAGCACAGGAGTAAGAGCAGAACAAAGTGAAATGAAAAACATTTCTGTGTTAAAATTATTGGTGCACAGGCCTTTATAACATTTATCAGCTATCTGACTTTTTTTGTCTTTTCACTCTCATACTTGATGTGAGTCAAGCATTAACTTTACACATACAGCTACAGAAAGGTTAAATTAATAGTATTTTATCGTGATAGCATGCGTGTGAGCTGTATGTATGGAGGCCCTTGGTAATGTTAGTGGTATTGTTATTACAAGTACTGACAGCACACTGCAGACTTAACCCACCAACACATGATAGAGATTTTAATAAGCATTTTATCAGTCTTACTTGTGTCCATCCTTTTACATTGTGCTCAGTCGTTTGGTAGAGCACATTTTGAGTCACTATTTCTTAATGAAAAATGTGTTGAATCTGACTGAGCCATTTCTATCATTTGGTGCAGATATGCTATGCTAAAAAATTCCAGTAGATGTCGCTGTGTCTTTGCAGATTGCCTCCTACAGGGAGGTAGTAACAAAAAAGATTAACTCCAGACATGAGGGCTATTTCAAAAGTAGGCATATTTTTATTTACATGTTACAGTTTCAGAGGTGCTAAACATATTTATGTAATTTTAATAAAGGTAAAAACAAAAAATTATAAACATGCTCTACCATTTGTCCTTTATGGTAAATGTAGTGAAGCTAACGTATTTAAAATTGACTATTTGCTACGAAATAAAACCACATCTGAGACTGACTTGGCAGAGATGACTGCCATCTTGTTTGCACATGGATTAGTGTATTGTGCTCTTACTACCACTAGATGGCACAAAAATTGTTAGCGAACGAGGACAACGGGTCCAAGTTAAGTAGAATAAAGTATAAGGTTGAGTAAATCCAAAATGTGACATCCTCAAATGAGGACACAGGGTCTCAGGAGGATATAAAATTCTGCACACCAGCGTGAAATGATATGGATGTGACTGGCATCATTATAGTATGTCTATTCATTTGCACTTCTCTGACCATTCTCCTACGAGCCCTTTGATCCACAAGCTTTTTACTTACAGAATCTGTGGTCACTGGTAGTTCTTAGTTTTTCACATCATTCTTAGTAAATCCTTGCAACAGCAGGGTGTGAAAAGACCAACAAAACAGCTGTTTGGGAATTGCCAGAACCAAACTGCCTGTCGCCAGCAGGTTTTTAAAGTCTGTGTGATGACAAATATTAGTGTCATTTGCAAGCTTCATTTAACAACTCAGCCCTAGGTGACGCTCTAAATGCTGCTTTGTCACGCAACATGTGACTTGTAGGTACGTGCAGCTTAGGCATATTTTTATTTACATGTTACAGTTTCAGAGGTGCTAAACATATTTATGTAATTTTAATAAAGGTAAAAACAAAAAATTATAAACATGCTCTACCATTTGTCCTTTATGGTAAATGTAGTGAAGCTAACGTATTTAAAATTGACTATTTGCTACGAAATAAAACCACATCTGATCATTCATTGTAGTTAAATGATACACTTAATGTCATACTGTATATTATGCTGAAATCATATATCCTGCTATTTAATTTTATTCCATTGCATACGTGATGTAAAAAAAAAAAAATCAATATGATTCTTCATCATTTATGGGAATTTAATTTTATACCATTTTATTATACCTGGAAATAATACTAGTACTGGTAATACTACTGTTTCCATAGGAACAAATTGATATATGTTACTAGCATTATTGCAGTATATGGTTTGTAATTTTGTTCTTTTTGTTTTACAAACACCATGAAGTGACTTTATAACCTATATTTATCTTAGTGTGGACATGACAGTTATTGAATGTAAGTCCAATATTCACTTTGTAGCTTTGTTTTGATCTCCATCAGCTCCCCTGAGGGAAATATCTAGCTAGCTAGCTCTTTAGCTGCTAAATGCTACATTATGTTCGCTAATGCTAGCTAGTTGCTAACGTCCGTTGCTCAGTGCCGGGCGGCTAATGGTTAGCTAACAACCTGGATTGACCAGAGCTCCCTCACTGAAAACGGCTAACTAAGTAAGTGAACAAAAGTCAAACTGTTAATTGCTGTACCTCTTTGGATGTCTCTCCTTTTGTTGCTTGAAGATTAACCTTACTTTCAACTCTGAATTCCAAGGTTGAAACAGTCTTAATTATTATTATTATCTTATTTAATGAGTTGCAGTGGTGTTAATTGACACAGAGTGTTGTTTCATGTATTGAAGAACTGTACTTGAGTACAGTTTTGAGATACTTTTACGTACTTTAATTGAGCAACGTTTCCATTTTATACAACTTTATAGGCCTACTTCTACTCCACTGAAGTCTGGAGGCAAATATGTCACCCCAGAGGAGGACAGAATTTATTTGTTGTGTAATTTAGTTGAGAATGAGGTTCACCTCTTGTTTTACTGTCTTGTAGGCTACATGAAGACATAAGGAATGTACTTTTCAGCAAGATGACCTCTATCTATGTTGATTTCTTTTGGCTGTATGTTCATGAAAAAATGGGGTTTTATTTCAGCAGAATTTCTAGTAGTTAGTTTTAAGGTTCTGATTAATAATAATACAAAATATAAATCTACTCATAATTATAATGATATATAGGTTTAGGTACCCAGCAGCAGGCTATATAAAGTAGCTTAATTGAAATTAGCTCCACCTTAACCAGCTGCAGCATGTAAGTGATCAACAAATGCATGTGTCAGTAATTATAATCCAGTAATATACTTCATTTTTAAATGGACCATTCTGCATGAGAGTATTACTTTTGGTTCTTTAGGCTTCACAATAAGGCTACATGAAATGTTATTGAATATCAATATGGCCAAGTGCACTATCCAAATAGTAGAAGCTGCAGCTTTCTAAAAGTAAAGTATGTCACAAGCATTATGCATTGTGGTGCCACAGAGATGCAAATCATATTTCAGTCGTAAGTTAACATGCATCATCATCCTTTAATTACCATTCCCACTGAAATTGCTACTTATACCGCAATCACAATATCTATAAAAATAATGGCACAATGATATTTCAGCCCCAAGTTTAGGTATATCTTGATGTTAATACTTTTGCACTTGATTAAGATTTTGAATGCAGGACTCTTACTTGTAACAGAGTAATTTTTTTTTTACATTATTCCTACTTTTACTTAAGTTAAAGAGTACTGTTACCACTACTGGTGAACTGTGAATGAGATGTCACTAACACCACAACATTTTGACAATATTGTAAATCTAGGAGAGGGTGAACAGTGACTTACAGTAGACTCCCAGGCCGATGTCAACCACAAGTAGAATGACAGCGAGCACTGCCAGGCTCACTGTGAGCAGTCTGTAATGATTCAAACTGAAATCGGGTCTCACCATGGACATGGACACTACACAAAGAAGTGGTGGATCATTAGCAGCGCCATAAACTGTCACAATATAGTTCAGTTTTATCTAAATAATATACAGATGGTTGACAAAGGTAAAGGAAGAACCTAAACAAATGATATACTTTATGTAGTGTTTTATCTTGTTTGCTATCTGTACTTTGTGAAGCTGATAATAATCAATGAATGATCTTTATAGTGACTCAAAATCATTCACTTAATAGCTTTTAGCAAAACAAGGATACATGCTTAGAATATGGCAGAAATTTCCACAGTAATGTATTTCTAATCCTATATCAGCATCTGATTCCAGTATCAAATAGCAGATTATACATTAACAGGTTGTTGTTGAGGTGTGCAGTGATTTAATCACTTCTCATTAACTATACCTTGGTGCTTCTCTTGGTTTGAGAAAAGAGTGCGCTCATCTCCGCCAAAGTCCTCTTGATAAGTCAGTTTACTGTATGGACCGTCAGAAGTGCCACCTGAATTTTCTCTGTCCTCCATGTTGACTGTGAAGTGAGACCAGTCTGACGTGATTGTCCAGGAGAGATTATTTGTAAGGACATTGCCCTGTGTGTAGCTGTGTGTGTCACATTACAAACAAAAAATCAAGTTCATTTGTTAAATATTTACAGGGGTGCAGGTAATTTGAAGAGCAGTGTCTTTTTCTAATCACAGAATGATTTCTAATTTATTCTGACATTCAAGCTCTGAGATAGGTGACACTGTTTATTTTATTGATTTCATTCAGTCATTACATGGCAGATATTTTCTTCTACGTACAACTGGAAATATTGTGCTACATTAAGTTGGTTATTCAGTCATAGTTAAGGACTTAGAGGGGGGTCAACAAGTAAATAAAATGGTACAGACGTGTGAGCAGACGTGTGTTGTGAGCAGTGTTACAGACATTTTTGACATTTTTGCAGCTTGAATCGTAATTATCTGCTTAAACATAACAGGGGAAAAATACATTGTCTGCTGCAGAGCAACTACTGTATGCTAGTACTTTACACAGATATCTGAAGAGGTGTAAACCAAGCATCAACGTCCGGGGCTGAAAAATGAAGCGTGTCCCAGGAATGAATCCTAAAACCTGGAAATGAGTTAGCATTTTACCACTCACACTTCCCTCGTCTTAAAGTCAACGGGTTCTTGGTTAGATGCCTGAAATCAGGTCTGTGGTTAACACAAGCTTAAAAGACTTTCACGTTTTGTTCTACGACATAAAATACATCACTAAATACCCCACTCATGAACATTAAAGCTTCTGTGTGTCTCAAAAAAGGCGGTTGCTAACAAGTAGCTAAATGAGACTACGAAATGTCATCACGCCGAGCTGCACCAAATCTGTCTTTACAGTCTTGTTGTGGTGGTGATGTCAAAGTCATGCGACCGTAGTGTATTTCTTTATAGCCTTTAGCTTTTTACTTCAAGTGATTGCATTTAGGCTTCAGTAATTATGAAAGTAATGTTCATTTGTGAAGATTACCTTACTGAACAAAACGTGTAAAGTATCGTAAACATCATAAACACATCCCACAGGCTTTTTGACAAGGGAACCAGTTTGATGCTAACTTCTGCGTCAGCCTACAGAAAAACGTCGTCCCTGGGGCACTCTATAGACACACATGTTTAAGTGCCCAACTGTATGGCAGAAATAAAGCCTGGTACAAAAAACAGTTTTGATGTCTATAGCTTATTTCGACATTCATGACAACTGTATGGGTTTGAATTTTTAAATAACTCACTCGTTTAGATTTTATGAAGGCTTAAAGTTACACATATTTAATGGTTGGTTCATGTGAGTGACAGGCTGTGTGAGGTGTCGCTAAAGTCTATGTGTCAGATCCACCCCTTGCTTATCCACAGCTCCTCCCTCTCGTTTAAATTTGATCACTTCTGGCTACAAAAACACAAGACGGCAACAGCCAAAAAGCTGCACTTTAGCCTTCAAAATGTGAGTTGACGAACCAATGTGTGACGTTAAGGTAACTGCATCCTTTATTCTATACAGTCTGTGGTGTATTTGAGTGTAGAGAATGGGATACAGTGTTGGAGCTGGGGCCTCAAAGTTGCTCAGTGGCGCATAAAGCCAAAAAGTTCAATTGCCACATATAAAATTACCTGAATGATCGGCACTGCTTTCTCACCATGTGGCCCATAGATCAGGCACACTGGAGACTTCTGCCAGCTGAGCTGTCCACTTCCAGCAGCTTACTTGAATAGGGATAAAGTAATTCAATCGTGCGGCTCGACTACACTTTTCAAATGTTATCAAACCAAATGGATCAAATCCTGACAGTGCAAATACTTTTTTTGTGGAGATGATGCCAGAAAATAATGCATGCACTGATTTACAGACGTCTCTTTCGCCATGTACAGTGCCCTCCAAAAGTATTGGAACAGTGAGGCCAATTCCTTTATTTTTGTTGTAGACTGAAAATATTTGGGTTTGACATCAAAAGATGAATATGGGACAAGAGATCAACATTTCAGCTTTTATTTTCAGGTATTTACATCTGGATCTGATACACAACTTAGAAGATAGCACCTTTTGTTTGAACCCACCCATTTTCCATGAGAGCAAAAGTATTGGAACATGTGACTGACAGGTGTGTTTTGTTGCCCAGGTGTCTCCCAATTACATTGATTATTCAAACAATAAATAGCACTGAATGTCTGAGCTCACTTTCAGATTGGGTACGATAGGTTTTGCCTGTGCAGACTGCATTTAGAGGTGGAACCAACATGAAAACCAGAGAGCTGTCTATGGGTGAAAAAGAAGCAATTGTGAATCTGAGAGAAGATGGACAATCAATCAGAGCCATTGCACAAACATTGGCCATAGCCAGTACAACCATTTGGAATGTCCTGAAGAAGAAAGAAACCACTGGTGTACTAAGCAACAGACGTCGAACAGGTAGACCAAGGAAAACATCAGCAGTTGATGACAGAAACATTGTGAGAGCTGTAAAGAACGACCCTAAAACAACTGTTAGTGACATCAGCAACAACCTCCAGAGGGCAGGAGTGAAGGTATCACAATCTACTGTTCGCACAAAACTTCATGAACAAAAGTACAGAGGCTACACCAGATGATGCAAACCACTCATTAGCAAGAAGAATAGGAAGGCCAGGCTGGAATTTGCCAAAAGGTACAGAGATGAGCCTCAAAAATTCTGGGAAAAGGTTTTATGGACTGATGAGACAAAGATTAACTTTTTCCAAAGTGATGGAAAGGCGAAAGTTTGGAGAAAGAAAGGATCTGCTCATGATCCCAAACATACAAGCTCATCTGTGAAACACGGTGGAGGTAATGTCATGGCTTGGGCTTGCATGGCTTCTTCTGGGACGGGCTCTTTCATCTTCATTGATGATGTAACACATGATGGCAGCAGCAAAATGAACTCAGAAGTCTACAGAAACATTCTGTCTGTTAATTTAAAGAAAGTTGCAACCAAACTGATTGGGAGATTCTTCATCATGCAGCAAGATAACGACCCAAAACACACTGCCAAAACAACAAAGGAGTTCATCAGGGGCAAGAAGTGGAAGGTTTTAGACTGGCCAAGTCAGTCTCCAGACTTAAACCCAATAGAGCATGCATTTTACCTGCTGAAGAGGATACTGAAGGGAGTAACCCCCCAAAACAAACAACAACTGAAAGAGGCTGCGGTGAAAGCCTGGAAAAGCATCACAAAAGAAGAATGCAAAAGTTTGGTGATGTCAATGGGTCACAGGCTTGATGCAGTTATTGAAAGCAAAGGATTTGCAACTAAATATTAAGTCTCATTCACTTTAATCTATTCTAAGTTTATATGTTCCAATACTTTTGCTCACCTAAAAATTTTGTGTTCCATTACAAATAATGCTATCTTCTAAGTTGTGTATCAGATCAAGATGTAAATACCTGGAAATAAAAGCTGAAATGTTGATCTCTTGTCTCATATTCATCTTTTGATGTCAAACCCAAATATTTTCAGTCTACAACAAAAGTAAATGAATTGGACTCACTGTTCCAATACTTTTGGAGGGCACTGTAAGTTTATGGGAAAACGTTTTTTTGGGCCCCAGGGCATCATGTAATGATATCATTGCACTGTTTGGCCACTATGTAAATTGGCTTCAAAGCCAAGCGCACTTCCATCACATTCAACATGGATACTAATGTATCAAGCTGCAGATGGTTTAATGTAAAACTTTAATCAGTAGCTATTATTTGTTTAAATCACTGAAATCAACAGGCCTATATTTGGGACATGTGTCTATATGGGACAGGCCTTCAATTCCTTTCACACAAATTGTTGCGCAGCAAAGATCGGGAAGTACAATCAAATTGTTTATTTAAACCAGTATGAATATTACTTGTTTAAAAATTAGGCTGCAGATAATATATCAATTATGAATCATTCATTTGATCCAGCTCCGACTGACAGCGCATCAGGAGAGAGTGAGTTATGGCACTTGAGGATTACGGCCCCTGGCATACTGACACAACACCACTTTATCCTGTTAAAACAACTTGGATTGATTTTTATTAAAAACCCTTTTAATTGTTTTGAGCTGAGAACCATTACAGACTAAAGGAATATCAATAACTTAGAGGGTAATCGAGGAATGGACACATTATATGAGGTGGCCAACAACCCGCTTTTATACATCTGAAGAACCTCTATTAAAAAAATGAACTGCTTGGTAACCAGGCGTCTAATTGAAATAGACCTTTATTTGTCAGAATGTGTAGTCACACCGGGCTAGTAAAAGGGACAGGGCGTTTAATTGAAGTTTTACGGTATTTAAAATATTTTGCATGGACACAAAATATTTGTCCAGGTTTCTTGATTTCCAGTTAAGAAGTTTCATGTTTGTTTGTTTGGCTCCATCTCACATATCCAGTTATATCGATGGTCCTCGCAGTTTCCGTTGTACCATGCGCCCCTGTTATCAGTATAGGAATAAAAAGCAGCACAGTTCCCACTCTGAAGTCCAGCACGGGTAGGCTGTCCAATCTTCCAGTACCTTGAGGAAGTCAAAATCATTTAGAGTAGAATTAAACTTCACTGTATTTGTTTGTCATGATGATATTGTCATGAAATGATAGAAATCAAAAGGAAGTGTTGACACTACGAGATGCTTACATTGTTTCCACCTCAGTCACATTGTTAACCCAGACCCATGTTCCCGCTGTCACCACATCGGTGAGGCCGATCCAAAATCCATTCTCCCACCACGAACCACCGCCTCCCACCTTTGGAAAGTTGTCAATCATGAGTTGCTGTAAGAAAGCAGACATTTAATACCTTAATTCACATTTCAAGTTTGAAGTCATATACATGAACTGTTTGATCAAATGGACTTTAAAGACCCTGAAAAACATTTTTTCTCTCTCTGCATCTCTCATTTAGCTTCCTACACTGAGCAAATGAATGAATGAATATATTCCCATGAAGCTAGAGCTATTTTTTCTTTCATTTCAGAGATGGAAACTCACCTGCTCCTCCAGGTTATTGATCACAAGCAGGTCGCCCCCTTGACTGATACAGTTTTTTCTGCTATCCGACCAGTTCTTTTTGGGGTTGGACTCATGATGAGAATAAAAATAGCAGGATGATTTAAGAAGACGCCATCCTTGTGGGCATCTGCCGCAGGATTGCTCTGTTGAGGCAGGAGATTGGTTTTATAATATTCTATATAAATCTCTATGATACATAACAAACACATGAATTGTGAAATCATGAAATGTTATGTACAGGACCGTTTGCCACAGAAGACAGGTTGAAGTTTGTCTTACCTAAAGCAGTTTTATTTGAATGCAGGTTTTTCTTCTCTGTATTTAGTGCCTCAATCTGTCTCTGAAGGTTGTCAGTGAGGGTCATCGTCTGCTTCACCTGCAGCTTTAGTTTTGCATGGCTGCTGCGCTCTCTTGCTAATGCTGCCTGGGCCTCCAGTTTTGCCCTGATGATGTCACTGTGGTTGCGGAGATGGTTCATTTCAAGAATTAGGGGTGTAGCTGCTGAATTGGGAGCCTGAAGGTAACTGCCTTTGGCACCTGAAGCATAAAAACCCGTCATAACAAAGAGAAGGAGTAACTGTGGCAAAACCGGTGTGTAAAGTCAAGGTTGATTTTTGTAGTATTTCACACTGGCAGCTCTACAGAGGCAATGTTGGTCTGGCGGTTGGTCCACTACTGTTGTTCTGACTGCTTGAAGGTGTCGCTTTGGTCTCAGGGAACATATTATGGTAATCTTTCTATATTTTGTGACAGTTTACAGACCAAAATATCAGTCAATTAATTGACAAGTTATTCACCGTTCCCACAGTCATGAAAAACCATAAAAAGTCATGGAATTTCACAATCCCGTTTTCCAGTCCTGGGACATCCCGTTATCAGTAAAATCCTTAGAAGTGTTGGAAAAGTCATGGGATTTTGTTGTGTATAATGAGATTATTTGTTACAGTAATCTTCTTGGGATAACCTTCCACATAATGTAACATAACAGTAAATTTATTTTCTGTAGCTGTCTCTGTAGAATAGGTATAATATGATGATGCGTGACAACGTTTTATTTACCATCACGTACGTTTCTTCTTTTCATCTCCACGTTCTGTCTCTCCTTTCATGTATGTGTGCCAGCTTGAATTACTTTTAAATAGAGTTTGAATTTCATATGTTTGATTAAGAGAAAAATTCATGTTGTAAAAGAGTGATTTAGGTTCATGAATCCCAAGGTTTCCATATCTATGCCATACCCCACTACTACGTTCTAATTGTACTACATTTTTGAGATGGAGCGGTGTTTGTGTTACACATAAATGGTGATGGGAATTTCATACTGGTCCTTCAAAAGTCATGGGAAAAAAATTAAATTTTGTTCATAGACATGTGTCAGAACTGATTATATATTTAGCAGACTCATTAGTAATATAGATAATACAAAAATAATCATTACCCTATGGTGTCTTACCAAATTGTATTGCTTTGCAGCAGGGCTGAATCTAATCACATGAATCCATTTGCTGCTTGAAAGTGTGTGTAGGTGCTTCAGATCATTCATTGCATATTGTGATGCACATCAAATCTGTCTCAGTGAGTGTGATGGATACTCCTGCTTCAAAAAATTGCTGTGAAATGACCACTAGATACATACCTATACAGCATATTCACTGATACAAGATATTAGGGAAATTCTGGGCCGATACCAGTACAAATGTTTAAAATAGCAATTTGGCCATTAGCCGATGCTGATGCCAGTGTTTTTTTGTTTTGTGTTTATGCTTGTCAGCTCACCTCCTCTTAGGAATATTAATGAGAAAAAGAAAAAGATCACCCTTACCCAAAGAGTAGAGTTTAAGAGCTGCTCACTGAAACCGAACGGGAAAACAAAAAATCTATAGCTAGATAGATAGTGTCCGGTCCAGCCAGTGGCTTCTTCCCTGAATCAGCAGCTGGGTATGCTAGCTACTGATGTCAGAGTCAGATTAACGCAAATAATTCACACAACATATAGCCAGCATATAATTGATGTGACAGAACAGATAAACAGCCACTGCATCCAGTGGATGTCATTTTATGTGACGATAGGCTAATGGCAGTCAACAAGGTGAATGCGGGCCGTTACTGATGTTCCACTAGTACATCAGTACATACCAACAAGGTATTCACTTGAGAAAGTAAATGAGAATACACATAGACACTTCGGTATTGTGTAATGTCTCAGCTATCTGACACAAATTCTACAGAAGATGAATTGTACACAAAACAATAACAATCAGCAGTTTTCTGTGAACTCTCATACTTACAAAAAATCCCGATGACAACAGCAGCAATCAGCAGAACAGCATTCAGCGTGCCCAGACTGATTATAACCAGTCGGTGGTTTGGCAGCGCACATCCACCTCGCTCTGTAAACAGGCCTTGATGAAGTTCCTCTGAGTTAAAATCTTAATAGTATATTTTATCTTAAGTAAGACCCTCATAAAACTAAGAGCAATATCATGGGGACTAAAAGGCTACAGATAAATCGACTGAAATGAATACAGAGTTAAAATCATTATATTTAGAATTTTAAAACCTCAGAATATGTTTTTAAGATCATATCTGAACTGAGGTTACACTGAGTCTGATTGAAAGAGAAAAGAGTAAAGAAGTAGGACATTAGTCAGAAACTGTAGATTGAATTATTTTTAGTGGTTGTAAGTAAGTCGTACCTTGTCCAGATGTTTGATGGTAAGAGTGCCCATCTGTGCTGAAATCTTGAGAAGTACTTTGTTCAAACGACATTTCCTCCCCTGATTCTGACTGTGAGTTCTTCGTTGTAGTGGTGCAAGTAGTGCCTATTGACCTGTTTGCCTGCTGCTTATACCAGTGATAAGGCGTGTGTGTGTGTGTGTGTGTGTGTGTGTGTGTGTGTGTGTTTGGACCCTGGTCTGGATGCTACTGCCTTTGTGTGTATGTGTGGATCACAGTTGGTAAAATATCAGTCAAAAGGATAGTTGTATAGCTTAACCTCTGATTTACATGATGTTTTAAGTGTGGTATAATACACTGTAAATGTCAGCAGATGTGATACAGTTCCTTTTTACATTCAAATATATACAATATTACACTGTTGACACTCTGCTTGTAAGCCTGTATGCAGATTTTGCACCATCATGCGTACAACATTTCTCCTTACTGTGTAATATAATGCTATATCAGCACATTCAGTCATCGACAAACCTCAGAATGATGTTATTTTTTTACCACTTTCATGAGATGCTGAGTCATGATTATGAAAGAGTTCAAACGGCTGAGATTTTTTCCCTGTGATTGCAGTGTACTTTATTCTACATTTCTTTGCTGACATTTTAAAACTAGCTGTTAAAGAAGCTGTACATCTTTTAAAGGAATAGTTTGACCTTTTGGAAGATTGGTTCTTGCCGAGAGTTAGATGATAAGATTGATACAGCTCTCATGTCTCTCATGGGTTTGTGTTTAAATTAGTAAGATCAGTAATACGTTTTAAACATAATAAGGCGTTTTACTCAGCCCTTTACATCAACTTACTCTCACAACTGCAGACTTTGTGGTCAATTACAAACATTAAAACTCTTACCACATTACAGATTTATAAAGCATTCATAAATGATTTATTAACCATTACTAGTGTCATTAGTTGTAAAACTCACATTTTTTTTAAGTATGGTGTATGTTGCTGATGTTTTGCATATTTTGTTTGGTTTGTTTGTATGTACATGTTATTAATAGCAAAATACTACAGTGTGGTATAATGATAGTGATAGTACCTGTAATGACAATAATAACAATATGAAAAATATAATTTACAGTAATAATAATAAAAATAATAATAGTAATAATAACTAGAAAAGCACTCAGAGAGTGCAGACCTCCGCCAAGTAAGTGATATTCCCTCCCCTTCTGCATCAGATTTTGCAGCCTGCATCACAATTAGATTATTTGCATCACTGTCGTTATTAGGTTATATATGCCTTCACCATGGAGACACTGTGGTGTATTTATTTCATTTTTACTATACTTACTTATTTATACTATACTTTTCACTATAACATCCTTGTATCAAGAGCTGAAATGACGGTAGAAGTAGTGTTGGTATATGCAATTGATAAAAGTGTTAATGACAATGATAAAGACAATAATCATAATGATACAATTGGTTATAATAATAGAACTAATGATGATGATAACAATAATGATAATAGTAATAACAACAGTAATTACAACAACATTGATTATGATAATAAATTTGTAGTCCCCATTTTCAGCCTTTTACACTAATAAACCAAAACTATAACCCCTCCTGTGGAAGCCCATAAGTGGAGGCTGGTGTTTAAACAGATGATGAGTGATAATGTAGTAAAACACGTTGGTAATAATATGAAATGCCGCATGTCGTCATAGGGCAAATTAATACTGTATTGTATCAGTGTGCTATATGTAAAAATGTCCTTACAGCTACAAACAACTACATTATATTGTGTTATAAACCACTTGTGAAATGTTAAGTAGGTGGATTTAAATACAGTGTTAACAGTTTATTAAATTGTGCAGACAGAGATATGTGTAACAGTAGCATGCACACACATAATCAAGGTTCTGATTTGGTAAAGATACTGTTCATCATTACAGAAAAATTCAGTCAGAAAGTCAGAAAGTCTCCAAGGTGAATTTAACTCTTTATGGAAAAAGTTGAGCTTGCGAGCAAATGCAGTAAACATAAAGTGTTAAGTTGTATAATTTGGGGCTTTTTCACAAATCCATTTCTGTTTTTGTCCACATCTAACATCGTTCCAAGCCTTGAAGAAGTTTTCTTTGGCATGTACAACTCCACAGTCAGAGTCACCTTGTTTGTTACTGTTTGGCTCTCCATCACCCCAGTACCTGCAACAGATGGTACGTTACTTTACAGAGACACAGTACTTTCCTCGTTTCCACATTATGCATCTTTTTGTTATTCAAATAATTTATTCCAGGGGACAAGAGTTGTAAATGCCTACCATACTTGACAGGACATGTTGACATCAGTGATTAAAACCATCTGTCAGAGAGCCCCCATTTGGCCTATTTGATTAAATTCTCTGCACAGCAAGTCACCCTCTATGTTTGCCAAAGTTACATTATTGTAAGGAAATGCAGTTGAGAGCAGAGGTTGACCAATGGGGGATTTTCAAGGCTGATATACTAACAATAGTTTGGAACAGTTAAAGTAATAAAAAATAGAAATAAATATAGATCACTGAATATCAAACTCAAAGTAAGAAATACCTAAATAAATATATAAATCTGGAACTGATCCATGGGTGGGACAATATGCTAACATTTCCTGCAAATACTCCAGCATGCAACATGTTAAACTCTTACCCTTCAACCAGTGCTCTTCCATCCACCCATCTCCAAGTGTCTTCTTTGGGGAAATTCTTCAGTCCAATCCAGAGGCCCATAGTGGGGTTTGGGCGGTATTTGTTGTTATCCAGTAAGTGGTTTACAGTTGCCTTCTAACGAATAAGAAATATATATTTACATAAAAACAAACAAAAGACGTTAAAATTTTACACAAACAGGGTTCTAACAAAATATAAATGAGTTTTGAGTATCCCACCTCTTTGTCTTTGCTGTCTATAACTGCAAGGTCACCTCCGTACATCTGGCAGTAATCTCTCGCTTTTTGCCATGTTTTGACCCCGTCACTTTCCGAGAATGGGAAGTAGTAACACACTGAGTTCAAGAAAATCCATCTTGGTGGACAGTATTTGCAGCCATTGCCTGTTGCCAAAGAAAATAACAGTGAATGACAAACATATAAAATTAAAAAGACAAATCATTATGCTATTAACATTTTTATGATATATACAATAATAGTAAAACAGGTCTTACTCATTATTTCTATTTGGTATTTCAGTTTTGCAGCTTCCTCAGTCTTTGTAACAAACTGCTCTTTATACTTTGTGCTTCTTCTTGTCTGGTGTTCAAGCTCCCATTCTGTTGGAATCTGACGACTCATCTCACTGTCCAGCTGCTTCTTGGCACTGTCTAATGATTCGACTGCAGCCTTGTAAGTATCCTGGAGTTTGGCCAACTCGTTGCTGATGCGTTCTGTATCATTAGGTCTGGTATCTGGGAGTTTGTTGTCTATAAGTGTTGCAGACAAAAATTTTTAGAGCAGCAAAGTATTCTTTTTTTCCTCATTACCCTGTTTCTAACTGATTTCATCCACATAGCGAAGACTTATTTATATCTAAGCCACCCTGATAGGATGTAGATGTCATGCAAATATGAACAAACTAAATCACATGGAAAGAAAAAAACAAGACAGAGGTATTACTATCAGTGACCTCTCACAATGGCTTTGTAGTCTATTCCAGAACTAACGCTCTGCTGTGGTGAGATAATCCACTGAAAGGCTACAGAGGTAGAATTTACCACTAGAGCTAAAAAAAATTGCCTTTTCTAGTTTCCAAACAGTATCAGCAGGAGAATGAAAAAAAAATCTTCAACTAAAAAAAGCTTTTGGACTATTTACAGAAGGTGAATGCACTCCAAAATAATTCAGCACTTATGCATAGGCTTATTCAATTTAACGAGCACAAAAATATTACATTCTGCCATGAATTTCTACCATTCCTGAAGTAGTTCGATAAGAACAGATAATCAATCTGTTAGTACGCAGTAGCACGCGGTTACGTTAACTTACAGTGAACCCCCAGGCCGATATCAACCATTAGTAAAACAGCAGCAAGTAGCGCCAGGCTCACTGCAGCCGGTCTGTTAAGTCCCCCAGGTGATTTTCTGTACGTCGACACTAGACAGGTAAAAGATGACTCAGTATCATAAAGCCAGAAACTGTTTTAATCAAACACTGCACTTAGGCCTATATCAAAATTGTACATATTCTAATTACATTTAATGTCGATGCTTTACTTATTATAGAGGCTTTATAACAATGAAAAGTGTGAGTACACCAATCAGCACTAACTAGTCTCAGCATTTCATTCATTTCTGTGGACAAAAGTGCACAGTGAAGATCTAAACACAGGAAATATTCACGGAATCTTCACTCTACCCAGCCCCGTCCTGCACAGTACACAGTTAAAAATACCCAAGAGCTATATACAAGAATTATAATGGCCAAGCGTCAGGGAGACAAAGACACTGACAAAGCCTATTAAGTAGCTATTAATGATTGTTAAAAATAAGACTAAAAAAAACACATAATACAGACAGATGATATTAGTCAGGGGTCGTCAGTTTACTTAATAACAGAAAAGGGGTCCCTTAAGGAAAAAGGTCGGGAACCACTGGTGCAAATGTTAACTTTTAATTTACATTACCTGGTTGCCTGTTTTGGTTAGATTGGGGGTAAGAAGGTTGCTCCTCATCATGCAGGTTCCCATCATATACCAGTGAGCTGAACCCACCTTCAAAATTACAACCAGTGATTTCTCCCTTTACCATTCTGACTGCAGAGCTGAGAGCAGTCCTAGTGAGAGAGAGGATTTGTCTGGAAACCAGCCTGTGTTGACACTTAAATCTACCATTGCTTAGCTCATCAATGGTAAGTTCATGACGATTGAATTCTAGTGAAAACTCTCTGGCATGAAAAAGGAGATGTGAAATTCTGAATAGGATGGATGCCAATCCCTGTGTGTGTATGTGTGGATTACAGTTGGTAAAATATCAGTCACAAGTATGGTGTAATACACTGTTAATGTCAGCAGATGTGATACAGCTCATTTTTACATTGAAACATACAGTACAGGCCAAAAGTTTGGACACACCTTCTCATTCAATGCGTTTTCTTTATTTTCATGACTATTTACATTGTAGATTCTCACTGAAGGCATCAAAACTATGAATGAACACATGTGGAGTTATGTACTTAACAAAAAAAGGTGAAATAACTGAAAACATGTTTTATATTCTAGTTTCTTCAAAATAGCCACCCTTTGCTCTGATTACTGCTTTGCACACTCTTGGCATTCTCTCCATGAGCTTCAAGAGGTAGTCACCTGAAATGGTTTTCCAACAGTCTTGAAGGAGTTCCCAGAGGTGTTTAGCACTTGTTGGCCCCTTTGCTTTCACTCTGCGGTCCAGCTCACCCCAAACCATCTCGATTGGGTTCAGGTCCGGTGACTGTGGAGGCCAGGTCATCTGCCGCAGCACTCCATCACTCTCCTTCTTGGTCAAATAGCCCTTACACAGCCTGGAGGTGTGTTTGGGGTCATTGTCCTGTTGAAAAATAAATGATCGTCCAACTAAACGCAAACCGGATGGGATGGCATGTCGCTGCAGGATTCTGTGGTAGCCATGCTGGTTCAGTGTGCCTTCAATTTTGAATAAATCCCCAACAGTGTCACCAGCAAAACACCCCCACACCATCACACCTCCTCCTCCATGCTTCACAGTGGGAACCAGGCATGTGGAATTCATCCGTTCACCTTTTCTGCGTCTCACAAAGACACGGCAGTTGGAACCAAAGATCTCAAATTTGGACTCATCAGACCAAAGCACAGATTTCCACTGGTCTAATGTCCATTCCTTGTGTTTCTTGGCCCAAACAAATCTCTTCTGCTTGTTGCCTCTCCTTAGCAGTGGTTTCCTAGCAGCTATTTGACCATGAAGGCCTGATTGGCGCAGTCTCCTCTTAACAGTTGTTCTAGAGATGGGTCTGCTGCTAGAACTCTGTGTGGCATTCATCTGGTCTCTGATCTGAGCTGCTGTTAACTTGCAATTTCTGAGGCTGGTGACTCGGATGAACTTATCCTCAGAAGCAGAGGTGACACTTGGTCTTCCTTTCCTGGGTCGGTCCTCATGTGTGCCAGTTTCGTTGTAGCGCTTGATGGTTTTTGCGACTCCACTTGGGGACACATTTAAAGTTTTTGCAATTTTCCGGACTGACTGACCTTCATTTCTTAAAGTAATGATGGCCACTCGTTTTTCTTTAGTTAGCTGATTGGTTCTTGCCATAATATGAATTTTAACAGTTGTCCAATAGGGCTGTCGGCTGTGTATTAACCTGACTTCTGCACAACACAACTGATGGTCCCAACCCCATTGATAAAGCAAGAAATTCCACTAATTAACCCTGATAAGGCACACCTGTGAAGTGGAAACCATTTCAGGTGACTACCTCTTGAAGCTCATAGAGAGAATGCCAAGAGTGTGCAAAGCAGTAATCAGAGCAAAGGGTGGCTATTTTGAAGAAACTAGAATATAAAACATGTTTTCAGTTATTTCACCTTTTTTTGTTAAGTACATAACTCCACATGTGTTCATTCATAGTTTTGATGCCTTCAGTGAGAATCTACAATGTAAATAGTCATGAAAATAAAGAAAACGCATCGAATGAGAAGGTGTGTCCAAACTTTTGGCCTGTACTGTATAAAATATTACACTGTTGACTAGGGGTGTAACAATCCATCAATCTAGATCTATATATCAATTCAACGATCAACAGTCCAATATCACCGATGCAAAGTGTAAAAATCGATCCATATTGTCATCTTTAGGATACGCTTTTATTTTGAAAGCCTCTGTCACCGTCAAACTGCAGTGGGGAGATGGCAAACAGCCAAGAGAAAGATGATGAGGATAACATTAACTCATGAATAAACCAGCAGTGTGTATTTTCAGTTCAGTGGAAAAATTGGTCAACCAGAATGATGATATTATGTATCATGTTGAAACCAGTGATTTACACCCCTACTGTCCACATATTGCTTGTAAGCCTGTATGAGGATTTCGCACCATCGCTGGACATGAACATTTCTCCATCCTGTGTAAAATTATGCTATATTAACACATTCAGTTAGAGATCAACACCAGATTGGGGTTTCTTTGACACTTCCATGAGATGCTGAATGATGATTGTGAAAGAGGCTCAGATTTTCTTTCCTTCTCTGATTGCAGTGTACTTCCCTATTGCTCTGTATTTCTTTGTTGAGGTTTTACAACTGGTCATTTGAGAAACTAATTATTTCTTAATGTAATAGTTTAAACCGTTGGGAAATAAGTTGTTACTGAGAGTTACAGTGTTTTCACATTTAGTCCTTTTTAAATGAACCAAACTCAGTCCTCTTAAAGTGGACCAAAAGTTGGAACGACAGAAAGAATACTCAGTTCTTCTTGCATTCACATTGTCAGTTCATATGAAAGAGAACTCAGTCCAGTTGCAGTTTGATGTTTTCCTTGTTCCATATCTAGAAGAATGCAGTTGTTTCATCGTCAGACCAAAGTACTCTTTGTCCACTGGCCGTGCTGTCGTTACCTGTGGCAGTGGTTCCGTTGTGTTATTATGCGTCTCACTGAAATAGCGTGTGATCTGTCTACGGCAAGTTTGGAGGGCTACAATACAAAAGCAAAAGGCAAAGCGGACCCGGGGCGTTTTGTGTGCACAATGCACAGGTTAAATGAACTGAACCGCGCATTGGAACTCAGACCCCTTGCTTCAGAGGGGTCTGAGTTCTCTTGGAGTGTTCACATTTGTGCAAAAAATGCTGAGTGACCGCTCTGAGTGCGCTTAGAGGGCTGAAAAGGACCAAGTGTGAACACCCTTAAAGTGGACCAAAAAGTGGACCAAGAGACAAGGGACTTAGTTCTGTTTGTGTTCACATTGTCAGCTCATTGAAAGAGGACTCAGTTCTCTTTCTGGTCAACTTCAGCTCTGGTGGGGCCTCAGTATTGTTTTTACTTTGACGTGACACTGTAGTGCGGTTATGAAGCCCCTCACTTTCAGATGAACTTAAAATTGGAGGAAAACTTTAGTGTGTCTGTGCTGTAGACTGTTGCCATTTGATGTATTCTGCATTCCACATCTGGAGACATGCAGTATCTTCCATGGACCAAACTACTCCTCTTCCTGTGTCCTTGCAAGCATTACAGGCTGACGTGGTTTTGTCTGTCTCTTCAGGTGTCCCAGTATATTAGCATGTGATCTAGAGGGCTAAATAAAATGGCAAAGAACAAAGCAAACCTGGAGCGCTTTGTGTTCACAATGCACAGGTTTAGTGAACCGCAACACTGGCTTGAAGCGAACTGAACTCAGACCAACACTCCCGAGGTGGACTCAGTTCGGTTCATTTCAGAGGGGTCTGAGTTCTCTTGGAGTGTTCACATATACCCACTGCTCTGAGTCCGCTTAGAGGGCTGAAAAGGACCAAGTATGAAAACACCCTTAGACGATTAATATATCTCTTATAGGTTTACGTCTTAATTAGTAGTTAGTCGATATATAATCGATTAATTCTTGACAGTAATATGTTTTAATCCGCTCAGTCTAATCACTCAGCTCTTTAAATCATCGGCTTACTCTCACAAATGCAGATTTGGGGGTCCAGTTAAAATAAAGCTCTTTTACCGGATTACAGTGTTATGAAGCATTTAAACATAATTTATCAACCATCAATAAAGCCATTAGTTGAAAAACTCAAAGATTTTGTTAGCATGCTTTAGAAAGTGATACCTACAGATGTTTTGAACCGAATTTCAGTTAAAACTCTTTTGCATGGGAAAAGAGAAGTGAAATTCTTGTTACTAATATTTTGGATGCAATATTCACTTTCCTTGAATTCCAAATATGATTATTTTGCACATTGTGAAATAATGCATGCGTTTGTATGACTGTGTGCATGCGTGAGTGTGTATCTGTCTGTCTGCAGCCAGTCTTACAAACTGCTGGACCAACTGGTCATATACTTTGTGTGCATGATCTCCTGTGGTTGTGGTGATTCATATATGAAAAAGTTGTTTTCATGGCTGTTTTATACCGTCACTGACTGCTGACTCCTCACTCCTCTTAATCTGCCGTTAGATACCGCAAGTTTTCTACAATTGTCTTGGCTAAAAAAACAAAAAAACATGCCTTACTGTCTGTTACAGGCCACATTTTCGTTGTAGCTTAAAAACAGACATCAATAGAAAAGTTTGGTCTCATTTTGAACCAGAGCATCTGCATATTAACTCCATACCCGATATGTTATAATCCATTAAAGTGATCCATTCCTGTTGCCCCATTTTTGTTATCCTTAAGGCCATCTTCACTGCAAGGAAGGTTGGAGGGACAGTTCCACAGCGGGAGCATTTTTAGAAGCAGCAGGATTTATCTGCCAGATTTTGTAGACTTGCAGCTTTTGTTGATTCTGCAGTTTTTCCTTGACATTTGTGCTTCCATCGTAAGTAAGTAAGCTACATAGTTAAATGGATTCTCCATCCATCCATCCATCCATCCATCCATTTTCATCTGTTTATGCAGGGCTGGGTTGCGGGGGCAGCAGGCTGAGCAAAGCACCCCAGATATCCCTCTCCCCAGCAACGCTTTCCAGCTCCTCCTGGAGGACCTCAAGGCGTTCCCAGGCCAGATGAGATATGTAGTCCCTCCAGCGTGTTCTGGGTCTACCCTGGAGCCGCCTACCAATGGGACATGCCTGAAACACCTCCAGCAGGAAGCACCCAGGAGGAATCCTGATCAGATGCCCTAACCACCTCAACTGACCCCTTTCGATGCGAAGGAGCAGCGGCTCTACTCCGAGCTCAGCCCAGCTACCCCACAGAGGAAACTCATTTCGGCCACTTGTAACCACGATATCATTCTCTTGATTCTCTCTCACTACCCAGAGCTCATGACCATAAGCTAGGGTTGGGACGTAGATGGATCAGTAAACTGAAAGCTTCACCGCCCCTCTTACCATGACAGACTGGCGCAGCGCCTTATCACTGCAGAAGCCGCACCAAACAGCCGATCCATCTCACACTCCTTAAATGGATTATTTTGGCCTATTTTAATTGTTTATTATTACTATGAACTACTTTGTTATGCTGTAGACAGAAAGTTAATATGTTTGAAGTCCAGATCAAACGATCAAATGGAACACATGGATCAAAGATTTGTGGCTGTGTTGTAGTTACTAACAATATATTTAATCTTAGTAATTATATTGTATCGATATTTCACATGCAGTGCCTGTTAGCAGGAGAACTCAATCTGCTCTGTGCAACACATTGTAGCTCCTTCAAAAATAGACGAGGCACGTATGTTAATTAATTTCTGGGATGCTTTTGAGAGGCGCTGCGTTGCCTGTGCAGGAACAGAACTGTCTAGAGTGGCCACGATCAGCTTGGACATCTACCTGACAGAGATCTGCACTTTACTGAGAGCACTTTTCTAGTGTAAGTGTGGTCTGAGAACAGGGTCTTGTCATGGTAGGAAAAGCACAGGTGAAATTGCTAACATTAGTATGACTTAGTTCCATCAAGCAGGGCAGTAGTCACCATATACATTGAGGGGGACACGTCCCACCCAATGTTCAGATATGCCCAAAATGACCCCCCCCCCCCAATACATAACTTAAACTGAAAAACAACAACAAAAAAAACACGTTTTTTTTTTCATTGCTATTCTACAATAGGCAACCACATACCACCATCCGAAAAAATGTAATTATCATAATTATAACTAAACATAACAAATCCCCTTTATTATTACTATCGGTTGAAGTATTACAGTTCTGCGTGTGGTTTGTCCAAGTGGAGCTGCTGTAGCAGAATGCCAAGGCTGGTTGCCATGGTTGCCATCAACGTGATTGCCAGACTGCTGTATGGGCAACATTCCAGGCAGGCTATGGAAATTTGTCTCTCTATTCATTACTAAATAAAAGTGGAAAACGAGAATGTAATATGAGCGTTACGTAGGCTATATTGTAACTGTTTATTATGATTTTGTAAAGTCTTATGAAATTTTGATATCGTGAATGGTTATGCTAACTAGCTAGCTAACAACAAGCCTGCGTGAAGTTTGAACTTGAAGGGTGGCAGAGACATTCGGCTTTTTTTTTGGCCAGTTTCAGAAAAGAAGCAAAGTAAGTTAAGAGCAGTGAGAAAATGAGTAGCGTTACCCTATCAGTCGGATTATAGAAGTAATGTTAGTTATACAGTACGGTAGCATTAGTACAAAAAATGAGTCAGTGTTTCTTGATATAAGAATTATTGTCATTCAGTAAGGGTGTGTGTGTTTTAGGGGGTGGGGGGGCATGCAGATTTGGTCCCCCCCAATGTTGTCTCCATGGCTACAGCCTTGCCATCAAGTGTGCCAGTAAGCTATCCCAGTAAGGTGGCATGCACAGCACCAGGGCCTCCGCTAAATGGAATGCAGCTCTCATTAATGTTATTAAATACCCCTGTGCGTCTCCTTTTATGACATGTCAAAATGTCTGCTGTGGAAAAAGGTCGATATTTGACAGTGAAGGGTCTGGAAAAGCTTCCATCGAAATCTGTCACTGTGGAGTCCACAGTACAGTTGCCTAAATAAGAGCTATAGGTGAATTGTCCAAAGGAGTCCCCTCTCAGCCTCCCATTGATGATGTACAGACCTAGCCACTGACAGAGCTGGAGAAGATGTTTCTCGTGGGTGTTTATGGATGTGTAATAATTTCTTCTTTTGAAATGAACAGAAAAGGGGATATTCTCTCCTGTAAAAAAAACTGGCAACTATCTCTGCTTAACTTAATTTCATTACCAGTTCTGGAGTTCAGACCCCCACATAGGGTTATATCAGACTATAAATAACTAAATAGATTTTCCAAATCTTTAAAGGGATTAAAGAGATAATCATATATTTATAACTTTGATAAATATGACTTTAAAGTTACAGTCATTGCTGCTTGGCCTGATAAATGATCCCTAACAGTGCAATTCATTCATCTGAATAATGACAGCATTAAATCATCATGAAAGTTATTACAGTTCAACCTGACCAGGACTTGTTGCTAAAAAATTCCCAGAAACATGAGATAAATCTTTAAATGGTTTTATTCTTTAAACAAATGAAACAATAAAAACAATGTGTTTTCTGCTTGAGCAGAACTTCCTGATTCTATCTTGATGTCATTTCACATATCCAGTTCATAAAACTGTGGTTGCAATTGGCATCATTACGGGTCTTCCAGGGAGTCATACGGCTAGAAATTACCATTGCACAGTCTTCTCCATGGTATCCAACGTTGTTTGGTTCTCCATCCATCCAGTACCTTTGGAAAATGACATCAGCAATTACAAAAGCAATCAAAAATATTAATCAATAGTTACTACAGCATTAAGGGAATAATACAGCAACACTCACCTATTTTCCACCTCAGTGACATTATTAATCCAGACCCATTTCCCTTCTGTGTGCATGTCAGTGAGACCAACCCAGAAGCCACCAGCCATCATATGGTCAATGGTGTGACTCACAAAATTCTGTGTGAGCACACAAAGAAATTGAGTTTTTAAGTGCTCAAATACAAAATCCAAATGTATAAATACTTATTTTTATGAATTTAGTTATTTATTATTATTGTCACTTTTTACATTCTATCTCTGTGTCTTTTTTTTGTTTTCAACCCACCTGCTCCTCCGGATAATCAATCACAACCAGGTCGGCTCCACGACTTTTACAGTCTTCTCTGCTTTTTGGCCAGTTCTTTTCAACATTAGGGGACTCAGTGTAAGAAAAGAAATAGCAGGATGAGTTGAGAGGAATCCATCCAGAGGGGCATCCGCTACAGTGTTCCTCTGCGAGAAACAAAAGATTTCTTGTCACTTTAGATGTTTTTCAGGATTCTAAGTTAACAGATGAAATAAAAATATGTACTATGACTCTTTCTCACCCGAAGCTGAAACATTGGACAACAGAATTGCCCTCTCTTCTTGCAGTGCCTCTATCTGTTTCTGATAATTGTCATTGATGGTCTTCTGCTGCTCAATTTTCTCTTTCATCCGTGTGTGGTTTTTGAGCGCGCTCTCTAACGCGCTTTTGGCCTCCTCCTCAGCTTTGATTACATCGCTGTAGTTGCCACGGAGATAGTTGAGCTCATCGATGAGCTGTGTTGCAGCTGAGTGGGAAACCGGGAGGGAACCCTCTTTGACTTTGGCACCTGAAGAGCGGTGAACATATTGTCACAAAGACAGCGAGAACTGTGTCAAAACTGTGTGCAGTAATGTAGTCGAAGGCATATTTGTAGCACAGTGGACAATGAAGTTGTATATTGTAATTCATGACATTTTACTAAATAGAAGTAAAATGTATAGAGGGAAAAAGGATAGACGTATGTGAAAATTAATCTTATTAGAGAAAAATGTACAAACAAAAACCATAAAAAAAATCATACGGAATATTTATACATATGAACATTTTAATAAAGCTTGTTCTGCATTGGATGTACCTTAAAACATTTTCTAATGCATTTTGAAATTATTGTAAGATTTTGCACAAGATCTTTTTTCAGTCAAAAGTTTCTGTAAGTGCAATTCCACAGAGAAAGAAATGAAACTTTCTGTCTACTGTAATACTCACAGTTAATCCCAATAACAACAGCAGCTATCAGCAGAGTGACGTTCAACAGACCCAGACAGAGTAAAACCAGTCGGTTAGATCCATCTCCACCTGTGAATATTGTAAATCATAATGATTATATAGAAGTGAAGAGTATGACTATGATAAATATTACTTTAAAGCTACAATCACTGAGTCATGGTAAATAATTATATATATAAAATATAAAACTGCTATAAACTGCTTAAAACCATAGGTTCATTTGCTGAGAGAAAGAGTTAAAAAAACACCTGTGAGGATAAAAGTGGACAGGGAGTAAGAAACATGTCAGACACTGTCAAAGATTTTGAAGTCGTACCTTGTCCAAACTGTTTATAGCGAAACTGAAGATTTACGCCAGTGTTGAGGAAAACCTGAGAAAGCCTCTGTATGAATGATACTTTCTGCCCATCCTCTGTCCTGCTTTGTGGATTTGCCATTGCAGCACTGCAGCTTTGCCCACTCATCTGTTTGTGCCTTGCTTTTATATCTGTGAAGGAGAGGGGTGTGTCTGGCTTTGAATCCACCCCCACCTCAGTGCATTGCACATTTCCTTAAAAGAATTAAAGGTCCAGTGTGTCGGATTCCGTGGCATCTATTGGCAGAAATGTTACATGATATTCATAACTATGTTTTCATTTGTGTATCATCACCTGAAACTTGTGTTTTTGTGACATTAGAATATCCACTATGTTGTTTCGACAGCGGACAAATCCAACACTGGCACTATAGGGACAGTCGTGTTTTTGCGTCAACCATCATCGTTCTCCTGCACACTTGGCACACAGAAGAAGTCTCAGTTGGTTGCAATCTGCAACATCAGCGCCATGCCACTATATCCTACACAATGTTGGGGAGTAACTAGTTACATGTAAGTAGTTAAATGTAATTAAACTACAAAACAATGTGATTGTAATCAGTTACAGAGAAAAAACATGTAATTAAGGCCATGTTTACATGAAAATGTTTCTCATTCTCGTTTTGAAAAAAGTTCCGTGTTCAGACTAAGGATAGACCGATACATCGGCCGGCCGATATATCGGGCCGATATTTGAGTTTTTTACTTGTATCGGCATCGGCCGATACGCGCAAACTTGAGACCTGTAATATTTGTTATCATTGTGTCATTTTTTTTTATGTAAATTGAGGGAGCAAAAGCAGTATCGGCCCCAAATATCGGCTCAAGAAAATCGGCAGTCCATAATCGGTCATCGGCTAAGGGTGATGGAAAAAAATCAGTATCGGCATCGGCCCTAAAAAATCCATATCGGTCTATCCCTAGTTCAGACGAGGTGGAGTTGTAAATCTACACCTTGCTGGAGAAGCATTTCTAAATTCAGTAGGGTGAGCAGCACAAACAGAGCTCAGGAGTTGGCCATTGTTGTGGTGATGGTCGACTTTCTCTCCCCATTTTCAAAACGTTGCATTTTCAGGCACCCAAAATGCCGCTGTCGAGTAAACGATTAGCCAAAACGCAACTAAAGTTTACCGTTTTCATTTGAAATCTGACCTAAAACAGGACCTAAATTACAGCTACTAATCAAAATGTTCATTATTACAAAGGGGTTACATTCAAATATATTCTTCTCATTAAAATGTTTTATTTAGAGTATAACATTAATTTGCATCTTGTCGCCGTGCAGGAATGTCCTCTTTTGACATAGCCTATACCCCGACATTTTTCATCTTTATTGCCCACAGATTTTTATTGATAGTGTTGACAGAAATATAAAGCTAAACAGAAAAGCAATCCCTAAAGCATTAAAAACCATGCCAAATAATATACATAAATATTAAAGTTTTGGAAACAAATGTTTTTATATACAATATGTAGTAATCTTGTTCTGCATTGAATGTAGCTCAAAACATTTTCTAAAGTATGCTGACATAGTTAAAAGTTTTGCACAGGATTTCTTTTTTTTTTTTTTTTCAGGGGAAAGGTGTCATTAAGTTATCGGATGTAAGTCAGATTCCACAGAAGAGGGAAATGAAATTTTTTATCAGTTACACAAATCCCGACTCCAACAGCAGCTATCAGCAGAACAAAGTGTGACAGGCCCAGTCAGTCACTCGTGTTTTTGCACAGTGAGTTTGAAAGCAAGTGCTTCTTTCTATAAATCCAGCAGTAACATTAAAACTAAATGTGAGAAAATGTTTATTTGACAGTCCGTGGAAAAAATGGGTTGGGATATCTGGTGCTGCATTTAACTGTTTTTCATTTTATTTATCCAACCAGAAATTCTTTAACATGTTGGGTGCCTCAGGGGTCAGTTCTTGGACTCATTTTATTTTCATTATTGTCGAGTTAATGTTGAGTTTTAGCCTCATAGCCTGCCTGAACTTGACCCGGCATAGACAACAACAGAGGACGCTGGACAACTCCACTCATTCTCTTCATTTATTGAAATGATGAAAAGTTGTTTTGTGTCTCTTTGTGGTCGTTTTGTGCCTTGTTGAGGTCGTTTTGTGTCTCTTTGTAGTCATTTTGTGTTTCTGTGGTCATCTTGTGTCTCTTTGTAGTCATTTTGTGTTTCTTTTTAGTTATTTCGTGTCTCTTTGTGGTCATTTTGTGTCTCTTTTTAGTCATTTTATGTTTCTTTTTAGTTATTTTGTGTCTCTTTGTGGTCGTTTTGTGTCTCTTTTTAGTCATTTTATGTTTCTTTTTCGTTATTTTGTGTCTCTTTGTGGTCGTTTTGTGTGTCTTTGTAGTAATTTTGTGTCTGTGTTGTCGTTTTGTGTCTCTGTAGTCATTTTTATGTCTTTGTGGCCATTTGTGCCTCTTTGGGGTTGTTTTGTCTGTTTTGGTGGTTCATTTGTGTACCTTTTGTAGTCATTTTAAGTCTCTTCCTGATAAGTACGTGTTAACTTCAGTGACATTTTGCAGGTGAGGGCTTGGCTCCTCAGGTCCTCTAACCTTTTTACACCTAGTTTGTAATAAAAAAATTTTTTAAAAAACTTGTGTGAAAAAAGAAGGCCTCCAAGAGACCTCTGAGGGAGCTACAAGGTTCCCAGCTGGGTCATTGTGCAAACCTGCTGTTTCAACAATCACAGCTCCCAAAGGTGTGGCAAAAAGCCAGTTTCAGTTAAACAACTGCCATGACCTATTGGCTGGTACAATTGAAAAACACTGTTGTGTAAGACAAATATTGGACATCAGCAGAAACGCACCTTCCCTGAAATTAAGCCTTGCATTGCCAGTGTTATGATGCATGCTTGCAGGACGCACAGGAAGACTTGTGTAACTTGTGGACAGAACTTTAACAAAATGCAGCCTGAAGGATGATTGACTCGGGAGTGGATTTATTTTAAAGCCAAGGTTTCACAGAAGTTGCATAAGTAAGTTAATCATTAAGTTAAGTTGTATTTTATATAGCATCTTTCAAAAGTGCTGTACAAAAGGAAGGAGGTTAAAAGAGCAAAGATGAGTACAGCACAAATATTGCAACAGGAGAAAATAGCACAATAAAAAACAATAAGTAGCTTCACAGCTCCACGAGTCTATGACTCAAGCATAAAAACACATATTAAAAAGAAAGGTCTTCAGTTGTGACTTAAAGCATTTGATGCTGACCTAACTGACCTGTTTGCTGACCTAACCCCCAAGGTATCCCCGGACAACAAATGCACAGACCCCTTGTGTTTTCAGTCTTGAGTGAGGTACAATTTGCAGGCCCTGTTTAGCCAATGTTATTAAGGAGTCTGTATGGCATAGATGACATATTTGCACCCCCTGCTGCTCACACATATAAGTGCCACTTTGTAATTCATTCACTCAGACTTTATTTACACACAGAAAAAACACATTTAGGAACCAAAGCTCTTTTGTATATGCACTGTATGTCAAGGTTACATCATAATAAGACTACAATAAAAGTCTCAGCATACTAACATGTACACAGTTGCAATGCTAATGCCATGTTCACCAACAAAGTTAAGCATGCTAACATTTGCTAATTACTCCCAAATGCAAAGTGTACCTGAGGCTGATGGGAATGTCATTACTTTTGCAGGTACTGGACAAAAAAAAGTTTGGACTGACTGGTGCTGCCAGAGGACAAGTCACAGGAATAACAGAGACAGTAAGACAAGTCCTCTGTCATGTCATGACATTTATAGTTGTTATCTGACAGCTTTAGTTACCAGTTAAATTTAAGTCACATTTTAACAGTTAAAACATTTGATCAATTTAAAACCTATTATGCATGCTTATAAATTAAACTAGTTTGTTACAAGTAGCCCTGCCGTGATAACAATAAAACACTGCTTACATTAACACACCAATAATAATATACATATAAAACCCTCTGACTGGGGTCATTCTGCATAACGAGTACTTTTACTTTTCATACTTTCACCACCTTTTAATGCTAATAATTCTCTACTTTTACTTGAGTAACATTTTGTCAGTGCAGGACTTTTAATAGAGTTTTTTTTTAACTTCATTACTTGAGTAAAACATCTCAATACTTTTTCCACCACTGCTAAGAATAAATCAACTTTAAAAGAATTTTAACCAAGCAGTGACAAAAGAAGTTATGGCAACAGAAAATAAACATCAATAAGAATAAAAAAAAACATCTGTTGTATTAATAAAGTGTTCATGAAAAGCATCAGTGTGTTAGTCAAGAGCATCATATCATGAGTTGACTAAAACTCAGCCTGGATACAGACCGCCGTGCTCTCCACAGCTAGTTGGGTTCCATTTCACATAAATATTCCTTTTCAACTGGGCAGGTTGCATCATACCACGTTGCCATTGGGTTCTCAATGTTCATAATTGCTCCACATCGTTGACCACCTACTCCGTGGTTGTTGGGCTGGCCTGGTATCCAGTACCTAAAGCAAGGCCCAAGTTATACTTAATAATGATCATAATTATTATTATTATCACCACAATTCTAATAGTAATAATCTACATCTTTTAAAAGAATCTTTAGACACACCTTTGTACTCTTTTTTTCACAATATGCCGGTAATTATCATATGAAATACATTTGAGAATCTCTTCACGTCTTTAAAACAAACAGACCTGGTGATTAAACCAGTAAAAACACTGAATAAAACAGGTTCATGTGAAAAAAGAATCTGTATTTTTCCGACACAGAGGGGCTGTCAACTACAGTGGCTGATGCGAAAACACAAAGACACAAAAACTCGAATGACCCTATCAAGAGCTAATGTGCAGTTTGTTCACTCTGGGCTACTGTAGAAACATGGCGGTGCAATGTGGCAATCCCCGTAGACAAAGACCCGCACTAGCCTATAGAGGTAAAAGGCTAATTTTAAGGTTAAAAAAACACGACAAGTATTATTCTCATTTGATTATGCACTTAAAAGACATTTAAATTGTACTTTTGAAATGTACAACAAGAGGTAGCTTGTGGTTTAATGGGCACCTAATTTCACAATTATTAAGATTATATACAAGGTTAATGAGCCTTTCTGGTTATGGAGAAGATCGATACCAAACTAAATATGAAGCCAGAGTCATCAGGCAATTAGCTTAGCGTAAACATGGTTCCTAGAGGAGTTACATATGCACCTAGTGCTTGGCAAGGCACATTGACTGAGCCAAACTCAGTACTATATTGCCAAATCAACATGGTTGACTGGAATTTGTCTTGATGAGCTTACTTAAAGGTATACTACACAGGATTGTCGGTTATTGTTTGAAAGTGAAAGTAATTGCCAACCTCATTCACTGTTGTTTGCCATTTCACCTCGCTATATTCGCATTTTATGGCCCAGTGTCTCTTGGATACTTGTTGCTTCGAGTCTGGCACCTATAAAGCCACAGCCTCACCTAAACACTGTGGGGGTACACACCCATAAACATCCCATTGAACACAGAAAATAAGAAGAAAATATGAAGATACAGACAGAGGGCTGCAGAGTCTCTGCAAATAAAGACGTTGCCATGCACTTCTAGTGGGTCAAGAGTGATGTCAAGAGTCAGGTGCTGAATTGGTGACACTTAATTTCAGGTGCTGATTGTATCGATCTTATGTGCTGCCTGGTTGAAGATGTGTGTGAAGCATCCGTGTTTTAGAACACGTAGCTTCTTTGCAGCAACATCTATATGTGAAGCAGCGTCCACTGTCATGGCGACAAATTAGTCTGGACAGACACGATTGTAAACCGTAACTGCAACTTGACTGGTTTTCGAAAGCATATAACCGCGAGTCGTGATTCGAGTTTCAATTGTAAACAGCGTGAGCAACAAATGTAGCTATCTTGGACCCAAATTTGGCCAGGCTGACTGTTTTCCCCAGCTCCCAGTCTGTATGCTAAGCTAAGTTATTTGCCTGCTGGCTCCAGCTACATATTTACTGTACGTGAGACATAAGCATTGCATTGATCGTCAAAAAGGGGATGAGTGTGTTTCCCAAAATGTCAAATGATCCATTAAACACTGAAACACTACACAGTGAGTCTAAAATCTCTTACCCTTGATTGTGAAGTGTCACATTATTTATCCACACCCAACTGCCTTCTCCATGAAAATCGATCAGGCCAATCCAAGTCCCTGGCTTTCTCCACCATGGGCGAATGCTTTTATCCAGTTTGGGTAGGTACTCAAAAAGATTGAGCTAAATAAACAGAGTTTAACAACATCACAATGAGTTAGTTAAAGGTTTACCTTTACAATATTCATTACCAGTGCAGGCCCAGATAGCAAGTGATGAGATGATGAAAAAAGCAAGTAAGCAAAACCTAAAATCATCTACAGCTCACCCCTTTTCATAGCAGATAATTTCACGTGTCAGATAAATCTTGGGTGCTATGTCTGATATGTTGAAGTGAACGAATGGATATGATTGAATTGAATTTGGTGGTGGAAGGTCAAAGGTCAAGGTCACTGTGACCTCATAATGCTCTGCAAAGACTTTTGTGTCCATTATTCAACATTATATCAAACAAAAGGGGAGACATTTGATTAGATACTGAATTGGTGACTGATCTTGAAACTGTGCTGATTGTATAGATCTCCTGTGTGTGGAGGATCCGTGTTCTAGTCTCGCCACCAGACAATCAGAGATCTCCACCTTCTGATTTAGTTAAGCAAAGTGTCTAAAGACTGACTTGTGAGTCTATCCGTGTTCTCACAGACATAGATGGAAACTGTAGGAGAAACTTGACTGGTGTGTAGAGGCGTACAACCAAGAGGTGGTAATTCTTGTTTCAGTGATTGTAAATTCAAAAAATGTCATTCCTCATCTTCAGTATCACTTTCATCTTAATCCTGGTTTTTGGATCTTGAGTTCTGGTCGTTCTCACATTGTTTATAGCAAAAACAAAAGTCAGTGCACTGTACGTTTCTTGACCTACAGGAACATCTTTGTGTTGAACAATCTCCTTTGCAGTGGCATCCCACCATTTCAGTGATGGCCTGAGGAGCAGGTGGTACAAAAGTGGTATTGGGTCTCAACTGGCCTTTAACATCCATGTAGCCATTTTGCAGGGGATTCAAAGTTACTTGCTGCTGACTGATTGTCTGGCCCCAAACTCGAGCTTGCACATGTAGCTCCCCCATCAATAAGCTGTTTCAGTGCATCCTCTGTAGGTGGTAGCTTGTTACTCTCTGCCTTGTACTTGTCAAAATGTGCCATCTCAGGTCTGGAATGTTTCTTATTGTGATTTCTTTTGAGTAATGGGAAGCAAGCACAAACCTAGTCAAGCATTTCTGTTGTTCCTCTGTTACTCTAAAATTATCTGAAAGCATCCTCAAAGCTTCAGTGATGTCATCCTCAGCTTACAAGAAGCATGTTACGTTAAGCCTAGTTAACACTAGACAACTTCAGCCCTGATTTGCCACTTGCAAATACTTTTTGGAGCCCCCCCAACAAGATAACTAAACACACACTAAAAGATAAGACACTAAAATGATATTTTTCAGACTGACAAATCAGGAGAAAGCTAACTTAGATCAAGACATGTCTTTCTTTTTGCAACACACTCTCAAGAGATCTGGCAACAGCTGATATGATCTCTTACTGGTTGACATCAGACATTATATAGATAAAAATGTGCGCTATCCTTTGACTGGCTCCATCTCTTGCATCACTGGGGATGCATTGAAGCATGTTTGCATATCTCAATCTCAACAAGACAGCCGCATGGTCGCTCCTCCCGTACTCAGGCAGCGCTGCTCTGCAACCACCCTTTAATGGCGTATGGCAGTGATCCAAACTGTTAATTCTCCTTGTGACACAGGGTGAGCAGTAACAAGACAGCACCTCACATTTATGTTGCCATATCAGTCCTTATTTACCATTAAGCACACACCTCCTCCCTTTCTCTCGACAGAGTCTTCCGTTCTGCCAGATCAATAGAAAAAGAGTCTGCCTGGTTGAGTCACCTGGTTGAATGACGCTGTCCATCCACGCCTATGTCTTAGCTGCCAAGCGAGTTCTCGACTGACGACTGCTAAATAACTTATTGTGTTTAAAATTAGCTATGTACGTCAACCAGTGGATAACCCTACCCACTCAGCTAATCTCTGCTGTTGTTTTTGTAAAGCCAGCTACTAGCGCTATCTAGCAAGTGTAGTATAGTGTGTCTTACAGTGCCTTAATAAGAGATACGAGACACGTTAACAAGAGACACAGCAATTATTTACCTGATACAAAACATTTTATAGGCAAGTGTAGCATCAGATTCTATTTCTGATATATTTGAAATGGTCCTTTTTGTTTTCCTGGCTTGAAAAATATGGAATTAACTACTAAATTCAGAGCCAATTTGATTTATTGTAAGGGATACAGCTAAAAAACGGGTTATAGGTGGTCGCCATTTTGCATCTTTTTGTGGTCTTTGAGTCTCTTCCTGGTCGGTATGTGTTAATTTGAGTGATATTTTGCAAGTGAAGGCTTGGGGGGGTGGGGTGGGGGGGGGGGCCAGATGGCCCATTCATTATTCTATCCATGCATGTCCTAGGATGCCATTCCCCAATTATTAAGGAACTACTGCCTTATACTACTCTACTCTCCTTATAATTATCTTAATTGCCTCCGTGTTTCCACTGAAACTGCAACACTGACTGTGTTTGGTAAGCAGGACGAATTAGTGGACCAAACTTCAGTAACTTGTCTTCTAAACACTGCCACATGGCCTGTCTCTCAGTTTCTCTGCACTACAGTATCCACGCTGTATAATAGGACTATTGGTGTACATTTAGACATCAAGAATAAATCTACCCACTCCTTCGTGTCTTATTTCTATCTACATACTGGACTCACCTGCTCCTCCAAGCTATCAATCACAGCCAGATCGCCCCCACGCCTGATGCAGTCCGCCCTGCTGTCAGTCCAGTTCTTTCTAGGATTGGATGCTGATATAGAATGGAAGTAGCATGATGTGTTAAACAAGAGCCACTCTGACTGGCATCGTCCGCAATTTCCCCCTGTTGAAAGAAGAAAATTAGTTAAAGTCACGACAAAAAGAAAAATGTTTGATTCCAAAATGTAAAAAATGGATTCGGCTCTCACGAATATCAGATGTACTGGACTGCAGTGTTGCTTTCTCCATTTGAAGTATCTCAAGCTGCCTCTGAAAGCTGTCACTGGCTGTCTTGTTCTGCTCTAACTGCAGTTTTAGTTGCTGATGGTTCCTGAGCTGTTCCTCTAATGCTTGTTGGGCCTCTTCTTGAGCTTTAATTGCTTCGGTCTGCATTTTCTGAAGTTGTTTCACCTCTACAATGAGCGCTTCTGCTGTTATTTGGTGTGGATGAGATTCCTCACTGACGTTGCCACCTGTGATCAGCAGAGATAAAAGGGACCCTTTTTATTCATGTTACATGTGATTAACATAAAACATTGTATGCATTTACCAAGTCATAGCATTGGGTATAGAAAGGGTAAATATAGTTAATTGTCTGAGCTTGGTAAATATGTCCGTAGCTTAATTAATAAATTGTTTAATACAGTTTTCCCCAGACTGACTGATCAGCAAGTTAAGTATGAATATACGACACCTTCATTGGATCTGTTGTACTCACAGAAAATTCCAATAACAATAGCAGTTAACATCAGAATAGCGTTTAGCAGTCCTAAACACATGATAACCAGCGGATACCGAGGAAGACTTCTGGACCCAGCTCTGACTGTGCACATAGATCCTGAACAAACAGACACTGGTGTGAGCTTGAAGTGAACAACAAATAATAAAGCAGTATGTTTTCAAAGATCATTATGCGGACAGTTTTAATAATGCAAGCCTACCTTTGTTTCCTGTGTTATGGTGTGAATTTTTTCCATCTGTGCCGCCATCATCATTCAAATTCATGTCTGGATAGCCGTCTGGTCTTCAGGTTTTTACTGAGAAATCCCCTCAGCGTGTTGCTTTTATCTGTGTGAGGTGGGTGCTGTGTCAATATTACAAAACTGTGTGTGTGTGTGTGTGTGTGTGTGAGAGAGAGAGTGAGTGTGAGTGTGTTTGAAGTTAAATACATGTGACACACTGATACATACTGATTCACCAAATTTGCTGTGGTGACCTCTGATGTGCCACCCACATGGGGCAAAGATTCAATTAGATGAGAGTTCGATGATGTGATGTGATGTGATGTACTGTACTGTATGTCTAGAAGTCTTGAATGTGGGAGAATTTTGATTGATGTAACCCCTCCTGCTGCACACAGATATGCAGTATGTGTTCCTTTGAAATAAAGTGACAATTACCCTTTATACCACCGTAACTATTCCTTAAATATATCTGATAGAAGATCATTGCAGGCAGTGTATAGGACAATATAGGATTATGATATGATTTTGTATCAGTGTGATACCTTGGTACTCTACCAAGTACTTAAAGGTCTAGTGTGAAGGATTTAGTGGCATCTAGCAGTGAGGTTGCAGAATTTAAAGTCCAGGTAAAGCACCATCAGTGGTTTCTTTCTAAGGGGGTTGTGTATGTTACAGTGCTACTGGCTTAGCTTCTGAGTGTCCTGTTGCTGAGCAGCAGGCTGATCTTCCTTTCAGTTCCTTCAGCAGAAACGCCCTCAGCGCCTCATATGCTCATTTTTTCATGATTATAAAACTTAATTTTACTCACTTAGCATTTTTTTATCATTCAACTTTAGCTGAGTGGTTATGACAAACTTATTACACATATTTATTTTTGCTATACTTGGACTTTATACTTCTCCGTGTGTCCCTGACGCAAAAACGCAAATGAAATTCCATACTAACATGCTCTTTCATAGGCTAAAACAGTATGGGATATTGTGACAACAAGGCTTATTGTCCCCCCACTTTTGGTACGCACAAGAAGACACCACTGGCTCCACTATAATGAACCAAGAGGCACAGTCTGGTGTGCCCTGCCAAGTGTGTCGGGAGCATGCCAAACACACCTTTGGTAATTCCATGGTCAGGCTCAACACCAGACAGTGGCGCACTTGGAGACTGGGTGAAATCAGAAAGAACACATTATTTTAGGTAGGTTTATTAAAAGCTGTGACAATCATGACTTATTACATTCACTACTTTCACCCTGTTTAGTCACAGGGATCTCCCCATCATGACGCACTGACAGTTTGGGAACCCTACAAAGAGTTTTTCTCTGGAGGAAACCTAATATTGTGGGACAGAGATTTTTAAACTTTAGTCTGGAGCCTAAACAATCTCTACCACTTAATGTTGCTCATCACAGCATCACATCTAGCTGTATTATGATCAAAAATGTGGAGCCTCAGTCAAACTTAGGTCTCTTTAAAAAAAATTGATGATGCGCAGCTGTTACCCTGCTTAACCAGTGTGTAGGATAGATTCACCTGGTGAAAAACTGACAAGAACAGATAGTCCTGAGGGACGGTGCGTAACATCACGCCAGAGACTGCAGATGGAACAGATGACTGCTGCTTTCATATGGCTGAAGAGAGTTACTAGTGTAAAGGAAAGGCCTTCAGTAGCCTATAGCATGAAGGCACAAGAGAGAACACAAGTCTTGATATTTACATGTTGAAAAAACCTTTCTCAGCACCTGCAAGCTTTTATAGCGATAACTGCCAAAAACAGCCCAAACTTGGTAAGAGCACACAGTCGCCTCATGACATGATGTCATCAAACATTACCTGGCTAACAATTTTTATATTTAAATGTAAATGTCTTCATAAAGTGACAAGATTAACAATAAGTTTGAAGGGTCAAAGAATCTGTAAAATGGTTAGCAAACATTTATGAGAATGTTTCCCCAGCGTGTGATAGATGTCCACAGTCCTCTGCAAATCTTATATATTTTTGCTACCCCGTCAGAAGTTATCGGGGAGCAAATTGAACCTAATGCTTTTTGTGCTTTATTTGGTGTTTCTCCTTCACCATCTTCTCTCTACAAGACCCAAAATGATATTATAGCCTTTACAACCCTATTGGCCTAGTATGAGATTGGCTATCTCATACTCGTTGGATAAGGGACATCCTATATTTTATCAGACTGGAATAGATTCAGCTTTCAGCTATTGGTTTGTCCAATAAATTTAATGATACTTGGGGTCCTTTTTTTAATATGTTAAAAGGATTAGGTTCCCTTATAGTAACCTACATATTTAACAGTTAGGGTTGTGCAGCCAGGGTCAGGTGGGTTTGGTACTTAGCATGTAGGTAATGTTTTTGTTTGTTTTGTTTTGTTGTGTATGCATTTGTTTGTTTGGTTTTGGTATTTCTCTTGTTGGGGTATTTCCAGTTATGTTGTTGACTCTTCACCTTCCTTTATAAAAATTTAAAATGAGTGCACCAGATTAGACCTGATAATTTGGTATGAAATTAAACTTGTGAACTAAAACTTTACAAATGTGGACAGCCGTATGTATATGCTACTTGTGTAAAGTCCTTTATTTTTAATTTATAGTCACTTACGCTGAGCAATGAGGGGAGACCATAGGGAGACACAGGTTTAAACATATAAAAACCCCTCGGTAATGCTGACCGTTTAAGGTTTAATTTGACAGTTTCCGGGTTTGAGCACAAGGAAGGATGGAGGAGTTTCCGATGTGTTGCTGCGCCTTTAGTCGAGTCTCAGACGAAACTAACTCACTTTAAATATTCGTCGTGTGTTTGTCATGCAGATTTATATTTACATTGCCACGGCAGCTCAGGATTTCATCGCAGTTCTTTACTTTCTTCCTGCTAAGTTAAGTGTTAGCTAAATCAAGCTAACCCAAACTAACGAGCGCTGTAACCGGAAATGCGCCCTCTTGCCTTTCAGCGTAAAATACACAACACCACGTTCAGCGATACACCTTTTATTTTGACACTTCAAAAAGTTGGCTGATGGTCCTTGTTTTTGTTGTGTCATGCTTGACGCTGGTGCAACAACTATATTTGCTCGTATCTTGCTACGTTGTATTTTTCGTTCATTCTGTGCGTTGAGTGCCTTCGAGACATTTGGTAACGTATTACTTTGACAGGCCTCCGTGTTTGCTGACACGGGTCACACGTTAGAGGTGTGTGCGCTTTTTTTAGGGGAGTCTTTCTGAAAGAGTTGTCGTTAGGCCTGTTCGGGGTTATTTCCATCACTGCCACTGGCTAACAAGTCCCTAAACAGAAATGTCACTGGGGGAATATGAAAGACATTTCGACTCGCTCAATTCAGAATTGGGCGGCGGGTCTGTGGTCAGTGAGCGATCAGCCTTGGGCACATATAATGGCGAAGAGGAGAAGTTGCATTACATTCCTATCCGGATCCTCGGGAGGGGGGCGTTTGGTGAAGCGATTCTGTACAGAAGAACAGAGGTAAGTTCAATTTCTGCCATAGCATATTTTCTAATGTTTAAAAGGCACTTATGCCATGCAATGAAGACTTTACTTCATCAAAACTGTTGTTGAAAGTGCTCCTTAAATGTACCCACTTTACCATCAACAGCAGGGCAAGGAAAACATGTCTAGTTCAAGTTCACAAGGTCCCCACAACTTTTCCCAGCACAGGCATGAAGTTTCAGTCAGAAATGATTTGAAACTAGTGCTTCTCATGAAACATACTACTTAAATCTTTCAGAAATGTCTTGCTGTTCGTGCTACATCTTGTTTTCTAGTTGGATTATTATGATGAACTATGCAGGATGTGTCTTGCTTACTGAATTGCTCACTGTTCCTCTGTTTCCATACCCCTGTGAGAAATTCCTGAGTGAGAACTAGATAAATGACTGTCCTGTGGTTTGCTTCTTTATCCTCCTGAGACCTGATCCTCCTAGCTATTTGGGATCAGTAGGACATATTATTTTAAAGAACTAAACACTGTCGACAATAATTACATCCCAGAGTCCTCAAATGAGACAACAATAAAGTCCCAAACTCCTCAAAGAAGACAATAATAAAGTCCCAATGTCCTCAAACTAGGACTTCCTAATTAACAGTGTCTTAGCTTGTTACTGTTGCTAAAATTGGTCAATTTTGTTGCCATATCAAACTACAAACATTATTAATCATGAATAAACAAGTTATAACCATAAAATGTGATCCGGATTTGGACCTTTTCCACTTTTGTTTCGATATTGGCTGCAGACTGACATGGATTAGTGTATTGTGCTCTTACTACCACTAGATGGCACAAAAAAGCCTCCACGAATGAGGACAACAGGTCTGAGTTAAGTAGGATGAAGTAAACCCAAAATGTGATGTCCTCATATGAGGACACAGGGTCTCAGGAGGCTGTCCTGTTATCCTTTTGGGTGGTTATACTGTAGTGCGTGTGTTTGGAGACCATTTCATGCTACCTATCACTTAAAAAATGTACTCTGAACCAATTACATTGCATAAAAGTTTTTGTTCTTAACCTGAGACGTAGGGATAGGAATCACCAGAGGCCCCACTATACGATATTATCACAATCACTAATTTTGTCGCCTGACGGAAAACGTTGTCAACATCTGTTTTATTTAGTAGGATAAACTTCAATTAGTAGCCTGGGCTACTATTTGCCTAAATCACTGATATTAGGTCTGTTTGGGACAGGCGTCTGTAGGGACAGGCCTTAAATTTCTTTCACATAAAACAGTTGCTCAGCAAAAAAAAAGAAAATATAATCTGATTTTTTATTTAAACCAGTATGAATATAACTTGTTGAAAAATGAGGCTTCAGATAATAAATCAATCATCAATCAATCATTTGATCCAGCTCCGACAGACAGTGCAACAGAGAGTGAGTTACAGCACTCGAGGATTACAGCCCCCGGCATACCGACACAACACCTCTTTATCCTGTTCAAACAAGACTCACAACTTGGATTAATTTGAGTTAGCCAACAACAACATTTATACATTCAAAGAACTTCTATAAAAAAATGTAACTGCCTAGCAACC